GAGAAGGCACACTCTACCATATTACTTAGTCTTGATGATCAAATCATCACGGAGGTGGCTGATCAGGAAACGGCGGCTGGATTGTGGCTGAAGCTGGAGTCATTGTATATGACTAAGTCGTTGACCAACAAATTATTACTGAAACAGCGGTTGTTTAGCCTCCGGATGCAGTCAGGTACTTCCTTACGGGAACATCTAGAAAAACTTAACTCTATTTTGCTTGATTTACGTAATTTAGATGTTAAAATTGATGATGAGGATGCTGCGTTGATTTTACTTGTATCTCTACCGTCTAGCTTTGAGAATTTTGTAGAGTCTTTTGTTGTTGGTAAGGATTCTATAACCTTAGAAGAAGTGAAGGCAGCACTTCATACTAGGGAACTCAGAATGAAAGCTACGAGTGATAATGGGGATAATGGTAGTGGGTTGTTTGTTAAGTCCGGAAAGTCTAAAAAGAATAAGGGGTTTAACAAGGGGAACAATGCTGGGTCGGGTGCTGGAAACGGCAAGGATGGATCTAGTAAAACTACTACTAAAACATGTTATTACTGTAAAGAACCGGGTCACTTTAGGAATAATTGTCCGGTGAGGAAAAACAAGTCCCAGGCTGCTGTAGTTGAAGAGAAACCGAATGAGAGCTATAATTCAGAGGAAGATTTAGCATTAGTCAGTTCTGCTAGGTCTGATGATTTATCTGATAACTGGGTTCTAGATTCGGGGTGTTCGTTCCATATGTGTCCACGTCGAGATTGGTTTGATACATATGAACCTCGCAATGGGGGTATGGTTATAGTCGGTAACAATGCTCCATGTAAGGTCGCAGGTATTGGTTCCATGAGGTTGAGGACTGTTGATGGGCGGAGGTTAACTTTGACTAATGTACGGCATGTTCCTGCTTTAGGAAAGAATCTGATTTCATTGGGTACCCTGGATGAATTGGGGTACAATGGTGTGTTTTCAGATGGGGAGTTGTGTATTTTCAGAGGTTCTGAGTTGGTACTTAAGGGTATCAAAAGGAACACCCTCTATGTTTTTGAGGGTGTTACACTGCCTAGTTCTGCGGTTTGCGCATCTGTATCTCACCAGGAGATGACTAAGATTTGGCACATGAGGCTTGGTCATATGGGGGAGAAGGGGATGCAGCTATTGTCCAAGAGGGGTCTTCTATCCGGGGTCAAGGTTGCCAACCTTGAATTTTGTGAGCATTGTGTGTTTGGTAAGAAACACAGGTCAAAGTTCAGCAAGGGTGCTCACATTACTGATGCAGTGCTCGATTACATCCATTCAGATTGCTGGGGTCCATCTAGAGTTGAAGGTATGGGAGGTTACCACTATTTTGTGTCATTTGTTGATGACAAGTCCCGATACACATGGCTTAGGTTGCTTAAGTCAAAGGATGAGGCCTTCAAAGTTTTCAAGCAATGGAAAGCTTTGGTGGAAAATCGACAAGGAAGGAAGATCAAGAAGCTACGAACGGACAATGGGCTAGAGTTTTGCAAAGACGAGTTTAATCAGTTCTGTGCAGATGAGGGTATAGGTCGGCATCATACTGTCAGGAAGACACCACAGCAGAACGGTGTAGCAGAACGGGTTAATCAGACACTGCTAGAGAGAGTTCGATGCATGCTCTCTAATGCAGGGCTTGGGAGGAGGTACTGGAGTGAAGCTGTGTTAACAGCTTGTTATGTCATTAATAGGGGTCCTCATTCTGGAATTGATTCCAAAATTCCGTTTGAGATCTGGAGTGGTAAGCTGCCTAATTTTTCGAATTTGAAGATTTTTGGTTGTGTTGCTTATTATCATGTTATTGAGGGTAAGCTGGATCCACGAGCCAAGAAGGGGTGTTTTGTTGGGTACGGGGATGGTGTGAAGGGGTTTAGAATTTTTTCACCTTCGGAGGGTCGGGTCATAGTGTTCGGAGGGATGTTACTTTCGATGAAAACACCATGTATTCAATTAAAAATGCAGAGATTTCAGATTTGAGAAGGGAAGGAGACAATTTATTACAGACAGATGGGGTACTTGAGGTACATCAGTCTACCATTGCTGATTTACCTCGGGTACAATATATTGATGATGATGCTGATGTTCCAGTGCCGGGTACTCCTGAACCTGAGATTACTCCTACTCATTCTAACTCTGGGGATGAGGTGGAGCAATCTAATCAGGGGTCATCTAGTCAACCTGACACCATTCTTGAGATGCCTAAACGAGTTATCAAGAAGCCTGTTAGATTGATTGAAGAGATGGAGGGAAGAAATTGCTGTGTTGATGCGATGACAGGTTATGCATTGAGTGTAGCTGATGATGTAGAGTCATTTGAACCTGCCACATATAAACAAGCAATTAGTTGTAGTGAGTCTGCGCAATGGCTTGCCGCAATGGGTGAAGAGATGCAGTCTCTTTACAAGAACAGAGTGTGGGAACTGGTAAAGGTACCGGAAGGGAGGAAGCTTGTGGGTTGTAAATGGATTTACAAGAAGAAAGAAGGGTTGTCGGAAACTGAGCAAATACGTTTTAAGGCTAGGCTAGTTGCTAAGGGGTTCAGTCAGGTAGAAGGGGTTGACTTTGTTGAGATATTCTCACCTGTGGTTCGACATACTTCTATCCGTGTGTTATTGTCAATTGTAGCACATTTTGATCTTGAGCTGGAGCAGTTGGATGTTAAAACGGCTTTCCTTCATGGCGATTTGGAGGAGGAGATTCTGATGAAGCAGCCCGAAGGATTCGAAGTTCCTGGAAAGGAACACTATGCCTGCAGATTGCTAAAGTCATTGTATGGACTTAAGCAATCCCCCCGACAGTGGTACAAAAGGTTTGATTCTTTTATGGTTTCACAAGGTTTTGACAGGAATTCATATGATTGCTGTGTGTATCATAGTAAGCTGGATAATGGTTCCATGATTTATCTTTTGTTATATGTTGATGACATGTTGGTTGCCACAAAGAATAAATCTGATATTGCTAGATTAAAGGAGATGCTTAACTCGGAGTTTGACATGAAAGACTTGGGTGCAGCTAGGAAGATTTTGGGTATGGAGATCTACAGGGATCGGGCTAGAGGTAAGCTTTTCTTGACTCAGAAAAGCTACATTGAAAAGATTCTGTCTCGTTTTGGGATGGAAAAATCGAAGCCTATAAGTACGCCAACTACTGTTAGTTGTAAGTTGTCTTTGTCTATGTCACCTCAATCAGAGGAGGAGTTGTCTTATATGTCTAGAGTTCCATATGCAAACGCGGTTGGTTGTTTGATGTATGCTATGGTCTGTACTAGGCCGGATATTGCGCATGCTGTTAGTGTTGTAAGCAGGTTTATGGCTCGACCTGGGAGGGAACACTGGCAAGGGGTGAAAAGGATTTTTCGCTACCTGAGAGGGACAACTGATATTGGTCTTGTGTACGGGAATGGTAGGGAATGCTTGGTCACTGGGTACAGTGATTCTGATTATGCAGCTGATGTGGATACCAGGAGGTCTGTGACTGGTTATGTGTTCACTTTGGGTGGTTCTGTGGTTAGTTGGAAGTCTACATTGCAGTCATCAGTTACGTTGTCAACTACTGAAGCTGAGTATATGGCTCTAACTTCTGCAGCTAAGGAGTCTATTTGGCTCAAAGGCCTAGTAGGTGAACTGGGTATTGCACAGGATTTTGCTACAGTGTATTGTGATAGTCTAAGTGCGATTTGCTTAGCTAAAGATCAAGTACACCATGATCGGACGAAGCACATTGATGTCAGGTATCATTTCTTGCGTACTGACAAGAGGATTAAGGTGAAGAAGATTGGGACTGCTGACAACCCGGCTGATTTCTTCACTAAGCCTGTTCCGTTTAGCAAGTTTAAACATTGCTTAGACTTGCTAAATATTGATTACTACGTGATGTAGTAGGCCCTGAGGGGCGAAGTTGGGGAGCTCCTGGTGTAGGTGTGTTGGCCTTAAGGTGGAGCTTGCCCGGGGCTTGTGATGCAGGTGGAGCATTATGAGTTGTTATACTTGGAGACGAGTATGTGATGGGTCTTGGTTGAAGACTTATCGGGATGTATGGCTTATGCATGAGTCTTGCATCGGGTTTGGCTTGAGATGTTTTTTTCACTATGTCTTGATGGGGTCGTTTGCTGACTACGAGTTCTCGTCAAGGTGGAGATTGTTGATAAGTATATTAGGTGACTCGTACTTCGTAGCTTTGTCCGCCCGATCGGGCGGACATTGCCCGGTCTGACCGGGCGGAAGAAGAAGAGGTGCCTGGCAAATTCGTTGAAGAAGCTGCTCTCGCGCCCGACCGGGCGAGCCTTCGCCCGACCGGGCGAGCCTTCGCCCGATCGGGCAGACCTTGCCCGGTCTGACCGGGCGGTGGGGGTTGGATACGTTGAAGCATTCGTATGGAGTTTTCTTCTCGCGCCCGATCGGGCAGACCTTGCCCGGTCTGACCGGGCGGAGAAGGAAAAATGCGGAGACGCGGATTTTACGATTTAAAGTTATCTTTTATGTTATCTTTTTGCCCAAGTATCTTTTATTTTAGGGATTAATATAAAACCTCCCTAATATTAGTATTAGGGTTAAGAGAGAGAGAGTGAGAGCCGTTCTTGAGAAATACAAGAATCATCTTTGTAATCTTTGCAGTTCATAGTGAAATCATTCGATCTCGGTGCCCGTGGACGTAGCTATCACATCGATAGTGAACCACGTAAATTCTTGGTGTTGTTCTTATTGTTTGCATTGAATTTCTTTATTGTTTTCTTGTTTGTTTTCGACCTTTGCTTCCGCTGTCGCACAACACTCTACAAGTTGCACGTGGATATCCTTTGATTCATCCCCTTTTAGCAGACAATTTCATTATCTTAAAACATTATAATTAAAAGATCCAGCCTACCAAACCAACATATAGGAACCTACTAAGGAATCTACGTGATTATTGGATCCTTCATAATTAATGCCCTTAATTTCACTATACTTATAAATAAACCAACCTATCAACCTAATTATTTTGTGTCGTCTAAAAATATGGCTCTTCTTAGAAGTATTATTGTGCTAATACTCCTTAATTCGTCGTTGTTAGTTGTTAAGGTTAAGACCTTAAACAACGGTCCGAGTGACTTGATGGTGCCCGAGCCACGTAAGTTCGGTCACCATGGGGCTAATAAGTCTCAACATAGCAATGCTCCTTCTGTTAGCCCTAGCCAAGCTCCAGAGAGTAGTCACAATAGTGTGAAGAATCATCATGAAAACGCGAGTTCTTCTAATGATGAGACGACGAATGCTCATGGAGAGGAGCTTAGTCCACATCAAGAGGTCCATTTGGAGAATGTTCATGCACACCATCACACGGATAAATCTGTAGCTGGTGGTGGTGTCATCATTGGCTGCTTAGCTACTGCTTTCGTTTTGTCGATTTTTTGCTACATTAGAGCCACTAGAAGAACTCAACAACAGATCATGAGTAAAGAGCAGCTAATCTAATTTTGTATCATCAGTAAATACGGTTTCAACAATCTTGTATACTATGAGCTTATTATTAGTGTCTTAGTGACCCTAAATTTCATAAATATCACTCCAAATCAAGAAACAAAAAAAGTCAACCCTTTACGAAGTTTATACTATTCTAGTACGTGATAGCTTATTATGTGGTTTGGGGTGATATTTAAGAAACTTTGGATTCTCGTTCTATACAAATTACACCTATTGTATACCCGTTTTTGTTAATAATATAGTTAATTATATGGCTAATATGATACATTTCCAAGTTCCCCCCTACATTCTAAGTATTATTTTTTACATTCACTTTCTTTTATTAATCGCGGTATCATACTACACAGGACATCTTGGATTGAAGGGAGTTTAAGCCTTTAAGGTAATAATCTCATTACAAATACAAGTTGTTTCTATGTTTAAAAAAAACAAAAAAAAAAATACAGTTTGTGTGCAGCTATGAACTATGTAAAAACATTAAACTATATGCAATGGCGTCGCCCAGACTTGATCCGGAGACCTTCAGTGTGTTAGACTGACGTGATAACCAACTACACCACGACACCTTATGTTAAAAATTAGCAAGACGAAATATTTTCCTAACAGAAATATCATCAAATTCATATAACTATTGAATTGAAGTCTAACAAATTACTTGGCCTAGTTCACATCCTAGAAAAGCAGAGAATTTTTATGTACTTATGTTCTGAATCTTCTGATACTACTACATCAGTAGCTAGTCTAGAAAATCAGCATTTGAAGAAAGTTTGAAATCTTCAAAGTAGGAGCTGTAATGCTAGTATGCCAAAATCAGACATGTAATTCTGCTGATAGCTTTGTTGTTTGATCATAAATGAAGGCTGTACATGTTTGCCAGTGCTTGGATGCTTAAGGGATGGCACATATCACCCAATGGCTGACCGGACCAGGCGGAGTCGGCCAGCAGAGAGTTGACAGCCTGAGAAGGATTGTACAAGTCCCACCATACATGAGCTGAAGTTTGGTTACAAGCCATCTCCATGTTGTCGCACCATGCCACCCTCTTCCACAGCAGGCTCCTCTTGCTTCACCAAATCCTACCACCCACCAAGCGGAAAGGTAGAAGATTGAGGAGCTGATGAATTGGTGTGCTTCCTGTTCACCTAGTTGTAACTGCAGCAGTTGGATTGTCTCAAATGCTTGCCTTTGCTGCTGGTTAAGGGACTGAAAAGTTGGGATGTTCGCGAAGGGGAGGATTGTGGCTTGAGCTGATCCGTAGTTATCCCCGCTTAGTATGCCTTGAATTGTGCCGTTTTGCTCATAGAATGTTCGTTGGTGTGTTAGGCAAACCCATCTTCTTGGCTGCATATACATGTCACAGGAATGTTACTTTATACATAATTGAGTTGTTTGCTAAAAAAATGGACTAGCGAATGAGCTTATGGAAAAATTGGAATATACGGAATTGCTGGGTGTTCTAGAAGAAAAAAGCTGATCCGGTAAGAATGTGTGAGAGAACGGTTTGTTGTTTGGGCGAGCCATGGAACGTGACAAGCTACAACAGCTGTGGATAATGGTTGTGGGGGTCTGGGCATGGTGGTGAGGGATCATAGTGGGGATGTTCTTATTCGACTTCAGTATGCTTTTGATTAGGTGATGGTGGAATCACACTCCTACAAGCTAAGGCAAAGGTAAAATCAGAGACAGTTGATTGTGAATCACATTTTAGCTCTTAGCCAAACCTTTTTATTTTTGTTAGTAGGAAATGTAATAAAGTGGCTCACTTCATGGCCAAACCAGCCCTTTGCAGGGGATCTGATTTGGATGGAGGAGTGCCCTCAGGAAGTTTTGCCGTCTATTATGGCAGACAAAGTTTTAATTTAGCCCCCTGAATTGAACTATGAAATCTGATACCCTATTTTGACAGGAATTGAAGGGGTGGAGCAGGATTCAAAAGCAACCAGCTTTTTAAGTTGTTGGTAATACTCTTTGCTAATAGTTGCTTCGTGTTTGCTTGTTTTTAATTCAGAGTTCTCAGACTTTTCTAATGTTTGTGTTCAATTTGCTTGTGTGATGTTTTATGTATAAATCACTTTTAGTTGCTAATATATATTTTTGGATTCTTATTATATTTGAGTTGAAGTGTGAATCAAAGATGAGAGATTGGGGTAATATGCTAGAAGAGATTGTGACTAAAATTGTAGAGCATGGTTGGATTGTGAAATTTGAGACAGCCCAAGGTAGTCCTCATTTTCAAGTGGTGGCTAACCTATCTTATGAAAGACAAGTCCAAGCGAAGTCAATTGGCTTTGATCACCATACTTGGTAATAAATGCTTCTATTACCTGGTGAAATCTCTAGGACAATTGTTGATTATATGTCAAGTGGTTCGATATTTTAAGATGCTTTCTAAAGATCGGCGATGCACTATAAGATTTGAGCTACTTGAGTTGAATGTTAATAATGGAAAGGTTAAGGAAGTGTCAAGCTTGGAAAATAGAGCATTTTTCATAGGTTCAAACTGTTCCTTTTCTGTGGAGGTATCTCCTTCTCTTGCCAATGGCTTTAAGTCTAATTGCATTTACTATACTGATAATCAGGGTATTACCAAGTTCACGGGACCTAGACGAGATGGTAGAGATCATTGTGTTTACAATTTAGCAACGAGGAAGTTTGAGCGTCATATTTACAATGGTCGTTCATTAGATGCTTGCAAACTCACACCATTTACCTGGGTTGAGTCTTTTAATTCATTTGTTTTAAATTTGTGTAATTTAGATGTTTGTTTTTCAATCATACAAGACAAATTTAGATTATGCTGTATCTTCTGGTGACAATTTTTTTCTTCTAGCAGATTTTCATAAACAAATCCTCTTTAAAGCGTGTTATATAATCTTACTTTTGAAGTAATTCTTTTTGACTTGTATCACTTACTCATCATTCTCAATCTCAATGGGAGTATATGGTGCTGTCGTGCCGGATTATAGTTTTCACCCTGTAACTAATACATTTTTTATGTACAAGTTGTAGGTGCGCTCCTCCCCGTCAACGAACATCCAATTAGGTAGTAATCGTTACAATTAATCAAGTCTAAGGAGTTTTAATTAAAAAAATTTAAGGGTAGTAATTAACAAAAATCTCTTTAAAAAAAATTATAAATATTTTATAGAAATTATAAAAAAAATATTATATAAAACAAAATGCATCACAAGCTTCATCTAGTATAACAATATAATAGGAAAAATGGAAATAAAGTGACTGAAGATGAAATTTTCGGAAGTAGTTTTCCCGGAGAAATGATGAAAACACCAATCCAATCCTTCATAACCTACAACGTATCCTCCACCTTGTATGCATAAATAAATTGTGTTACTTTTCTAACCATAGCATAATCAAATTTTCTGCTTTTCTTAGCTTATTTTGGATTCTCGTGTTATACAAATAACCAACTACTCCTATTGCATACCCGTTTTTGTTAATAATATAGTTAATATGATACATTTCCAAGTTCCATCCTACATTCAAAGTATTACTTTCTACATTCACTTACTTTTAATTACTTTCAAGTTGTTATGTTAGGGGAAAAAAAGTACAGTTTGTGTACAATTGTGACTAGTGTAATAATTAAAAAAAATAATAAATAACCTATATGATGTTGTCCGGACTCGAACACTGATCACTGTCCTTAAGAATCCACATCATATTCATATAACTATATTATTGTTATACTAGATATTTTCCTAAAAGAAATTTTCAGTGGCAGAAAAAATATTTTCCTATAAGAAATATCATCATATTCATATAACTATTGTACCTCAAAAGTTATGGGCCTGTAACAATTACTTGGCCTAATTCACATCCTAAAAAAGCAGAAAACATTTATGTGCTTATGTTCTGGCATTACTGCATCAGTAGCAAAGATTAACCTGTAAAATCAACATTTAGAGAAAGTTTAAAATCTTCACAATAGAAGCTATAATGCTAGTATGCCAGAATCTAGCTATGTTGTTTGATCTTCATGAAGGCTCTACATGTTTGCCAGTGCTTGGATACTTAAGGGATGACAGATATCACCCAATGGCTGACCGGACCAAGCGGAGTCTGCCAGCAGAGAGTTGACAGCCTCAGAAGGATTGTAGAAGTCCCACCACACATGAGATGAAGTTTGATTACAAGCCATCTCCATGTTGTCGCACCCGGATGCTGCTCCATGCCACCCTCTTCCACAGCATGCTCCTCTTGCATCACCAAATCCTACCACCCACCAATATTTATACACCATCAATGCTAACATAATTATATATCTTAACTCAAAATCATAGTCTATATACATAATTATTGCAGATGTAAAACTAAGCTGTACTACACTACTACTTCTGTACTAAATTATATAACCAACATTATGATTTATGACATACATAGCTTGTAAGATCATAGGTTAATTGAGTTGGGCCAGTGTAACAGAACAAAAGTGCTTACCAAAATTTTGTGGATTGGACAAGATTTGCATAAAACCTTGGTAAACATCACAGAACACAAACTGAGCATCAGAGTACTGCAAATTGAGGTCGACGATGTGATCATTCAAGAGACGATTATGCTGCATCATAAGATGATTAATCTCATTGACACAAACCCTCACCCTTCTCCTTTTTCTTCCAGTCAGAAAGTACCAGTTAACCACTGTCCTAGGGGCACATCCAAGAGGGTAGACTCCCATGGTAACAATCTTCTTCACACCTGCGTCATACAGGTTTCGCAAGGCATTGGTCAGCTCGTCGACCAGCAGCCTAGGAACCATCTGTGCGTCACAATTGTAACCTGAGGAAAACGATGAGTTCCCAAAGAGGAAGTTGATGTAGTCATCCTTGCCCAAGGAAAGGTAGAAGATTGAGGAGCTGATGAATTGGTGTGCTTCCTGTTCACCTAGTTGTAACTGCAGCAGTTGGATTGTCTCAAATGCTTGCCTTTGCTGCTGGTTAAGGGACTGAAAAGTTGGGATGTTCGCGAAGGGGAGGATCGTGGCTTGAGCTGATCCGTAGTTGATCCCGCTTAGTATGCCTTGAATTGTGCCGTTTTGCTCATAGAATGTTGGTGTGTTAGGCAAACCCATCTTCTTGGCTGCATATACATGTCACAGGAATGTTACTTTATATATCAGTAACTACCAAAAAAATGAATTCAGAGCAGAAGAAGATTTAATAATACAAGACTACATACATTGAGACATATACAACTAGCTCATTTTAGGAAGTTACATGGTCTATATCATTCAAACATCAGTGTCATACAATATTCAATTCAAACTACCCAATAATATGAAATTATAATAGAGTTATCATATAATTGTGCATAAGATATGGTAGTGGCTCAATCAAGTAACAACAAAAGTTCTGATGCTCAATGAAATTATAATAGAGTTATCATCATACAGTAACCCAGAAAAAGCAGGGGGAAAAAACAGAGCATTAAAGAAAACAACATTAATTTCGAGCAATGTAATAAACCCAGGTAGAATTTTAAGCATTTAACATGAAATGAACACCCAGAATTTGATCAAGTAAAAAAAATTCAAGAAACCCAGATGAAAAAACAGCAAGAATTGAAAATCAAAACAAATCAAGAAAGAGAGAAAATACCCAGAATGTAAGGAATGAGGGTAGAATAAGAGCCATTAGAACAAGGAATTAAGGAATGATAATGGCGAAGAAGAGGGTAAAATAGTGTATTCCCGCCACAATCAACTGAAGAATCCCCCATTACAAAGAAACCTCGAGGTTTCAATGATGATGAAGTGAACAAATTCGAAGTGTTGTTGTTGGTGGTATCATCATCAGAAGATTGAATAAGACTGTCGAGAAAGGAAAATGGCGGCGACGAAGACGACGTTGGTGTCGAATGATGAATAGCAGTGCTGCCGTAGTGAGAAACATGAATAATCATGGCAATTAGAGCAGTTGTTAGCATTAACAACAATGTCCCAGCTATTATTTCTTTGTTCATCTTCTTTTTTTTTTTTTTTTTTTTTTTTGAGAGGAAGAAAGAGAGAGAAGAAGAAATTTGGCGGCAAACAGTTGAGGGTGTGAAGAAGGTTGTGAAGTGAGGATGAAGAAGAAACTGATATTTGGATTCTGTTATAACTAACTGTTTTAATTTTCTTTTTCTTTTTTTTTTTGGGTTAGTTAGAATTGCCACTTGTACTTTTTTTGATGGTTAAGTGAATATACTTGTCATGAGTAAGTTTAAAAATAATGTTACTGTACTATTTCCTAAACGTATGTTATGTCACATAATTGTATAAAATTACGATAGTGTAATTACATATATCGTGGCTATCTTGATTGATACTTAACTACCCTAACTCGACCAATAATCACAAGACCCGATTCACAATAAACTCAATTAGCTCGATTTTATCCGAAACTTAACTCATTATCCTAACTCGACCAATAATCACAAGACCCGATTCACGATAAACTCGATTAGCTCAATTTATCCAAAATTTAACTGAGTCATATAATCCATATATGACTAACTCTACACCGGATGTATATCGACATGCAACTTTTATTATTTCACATCCTTGATTACGCATACTTCTAATCTGATCAAATACATACTTAATTACTTACTCCGTGTAATGCATATTTAACAATCTAATTTATACATTAGATGTGTCATAATAATCAAATACTTGGATTTTAATGCAACAAAAATTACAATAAGCTACCTACAATTTGGTAAATGAAAATGGCTCATGAAGATTAAATAAGAATTAATTAAAATGCCAATAACATAATAGAAGGGGAAAAAAACAGCAGATTATCAAATAACCCAAGATTTCTTCAAACAGTCATGCATAGAACCAAAACAGAGAATCAAATAAATGCGCTAAAAGTAATTAATAATGCTAAATGCGAGTCATAATCCACTAAAAAGAAATTACTACCAGGTAGATTTTACGAATTTAATCTCAGAATCAATAAAGAAGCCTAACAAAAATAGAAGTAACCCAGTTGAAAATTAGCAAGAAAACGAAATAAGAAAACAGAGGGGAGAGAAAATACCCAGAAAATGAGGAATAAGAGTGGATTGATGACTCTTAGAACAAGGAAACAGAGACAAATTACGGCGAAGAAGAGGGTAAAACAGAGCATTCACCCCACAATCAACAGTAGAATCTCCCATCACAAAAATAGCCGGCGATTTCATTGATTTTGAAGTGTTGTTGTTGTTGTTGTTGTTGTTGCCATTGTTGTTGACGATGATGTTCTTTCGAACATTATCCTCAACCAGAAATCTAGGAAATGAAACCGAAGGCGAAGGCGGAAACGAAGGTGCAGGAGCAGGAGCAGGAGGAGGGGGAGGGGGGTGATGAGACTTTTGAGTGACAGCAATAATGAATAAGGTAATACCAAGTATAGCCATTGCTGGGTGAAATACAATATCAAAAAGACGTTCTGAGTCTATCATTTTGGTTAAAAAGAAGAAGAAATTTCAAGGTTGATTTTAATTTTCTGGTAACAAGGAAGTTGGTAGTAAACAGTTTTGAGGAAGAAGAAGATGAAGGAGGAGGAAGTTAAGTATGAGAGTATATTATGATGAATTATCAAACTAATTGTTGGGTTTATGCGTAACTAACTTTAGAATTTTTACTCTCTTTTTTTTATTTTATATTTTATAATAAATGGGCAAGTGGCAGATTATGAGTTTGTTTGTTATGGAGTATTCAGTATTGTGCATTCAACAATATTGGAGATAAGGGGAGTAATTTGATTAATTTGAATATGGAAATGAAATTGTATGCAGTTATAATCATCAACCAACTTAATACATTTTTAAAGTTCATGTAATTTGATGGCTGTTCGAGTCGAATTTTTGACTGGATTACGTTCAAATCCATTATTATTTAGCTTATTAATTAACATTAACTAATACACATTACTGTTATATTTCATTCGAATTTGGTGATAGAGTACGAGTCAATTGAGCCATATCCAAATTCCTAAACCCACAGCAACTTACTCTAAAAAAATGAAATAGTAATGGTCCGGAGATAAAATTCTCTTGTTCAAACACTTAATTTTCATCAAAACTAACCAAAATAATCGATAGTATGGAAACTCCTTTGGAATGCTGCACTAGCTGAGGAACTCAAATGCGCCTAAAGATAAAGGCTAGGCCCGATTCATCCAACAAATTTGCCCTAAAGAGGCAGGCTTACATGTTTAAGATTGTATGGATCCCTGAATCAGTGATATTCAATCGAAAGCAAAGACATAATAGCAAAGGCAGCATACACCAAGTCACCAAGGTGATGATTGCAGAAGAAACAGCAATTTTTGGTACCGGGATGCTAGAAATCAATCACACTAGACGCAAAAACCCATATACGTCGTATATAGTTACAAACATAACCATATTGTATGTTTGTGGCTGATTTCAACCGAAGTAGTAAGCAATTATACCTCAAAACAAATAACAGGGCCATACGAAGAGGAAGGAGAGAATACTCCACAACATGAAAAACCAATATTTCCTTGAATGAGCAATCATATCAAATTAGTACTAAAGCATGCAATAAAACACTGATATAGTGCCTCTGTCAAGTAGATCACATCAGAGTCAGGATCTGACTTACGAAATTTGTACCTATTTTGTACTTTGATGTAACTAAAAAGAGTATAAAATCTTGAGAGACTTAGAAGTAAATCCTTGGCTACAAATTATTCTGCTACGCCTTCACCTTCCCATTAACACTGCGCTTACTGTGCCAAATGCCATTTCGATCTCCATTTATGGGATTCTTCTTTGCTGCCACTGAACATTTATCGGCCTTGCCACTCTTCGCGTTCATCTCAGCTTGGAGCCTACGCTGCCTCAACCTGTTCTCCAACCTAATAGCCTTCTGAGCACGAGATCTCATTTCTCTCTCTAAAGCGTGAGAGAAGTCCCACAGCTTCACGACACAATCTTCTCCTCCACAAACAATACGATCAGCACCAATATTCACAGAAAACAAACTAGCCCCAGAACCATGCAGCATCCTCTGAGGAGGCTCAATTGTTGCCTCCTTCCTGTTCCGATATTTCATCAGACAATGCCGGTTAGATTTCAATAGTTTCCTAACATCAATCAGAGAAAGGTTCCCATCACTAGAAGCTGATACAACCCATGGAAACTCGAATGCAAGCGAATTCACAGGTCCTGAATGTGGGATCCAAGAAGCCACCTTCAAGACGCCATCATCAGCACACTCTGAGATTTCAAACATGTGTATTGATCCATCTTCTCCTCCAGTAAAGAGAAAGTCTCCTGAATAACTCCTTGCTATGGCATAAGTGTTTCCAGCATGAGCATGAGGAATGATGGCGGCCAGAGTTCCATCAGTAGTGTCCCAAATATAAACATCGGAACCTGATGTGCTAGCTAAAGTAGTGCCATGAGGTGCAATACTCCATACCCAGTCACTATGCCTTAAGACCATAACACACTGCAACGAGGCACGGTCCCATATCCTCACAGTCATGTCCCAAGATCCACTATAGATCCTTGAAATATCCAAAGCGAGAGAAGCCACCGGTCCCTCGTGCTCCCAGAGTCTAAACTCAGAGTTTTCACAGTAAGAACCCTTAAGGTCGAACAAGTGAGAGACTCCCTCAACAGCCTTCCAACATTGGATAAAACCATCAGTCACCCCAGCTACCAGCAGATTTGTATCAGCAGCCACAGCACGAATTGTGCAACCAAGAGGCCTCGATGAAGCAATAGACAACCCTTCTTCCATGTCCCAAATCCGGACTACAAAATCATACCCAGCAGTGAAAACAAGCTTTGCAGACACCAGGAGGAATACAGCACGAACTGGTTCTGTGTGGCCAGTCAAATAATCACGCCTACAACGCCCTAGATAGGTCTTGCTCCTAAAATCTCTCTCCACAAAGAGTTCCTTCCATGACTTCTCCTCAGATAAACCGGGATTCAGAGTCTTAGTTATCGGAAGACCCCATCTCTCACAATAGAAATCCTTCCATACATGATGATCAGATGCAATCTTATAAAGGGTAGTTGAAACACACGAAACAATGCCAAGCTCTTTCGGGTCTAAACAGTTCAGAATCTCCACAACCAAAGCCGGAGGAAGGTCGGTAATAGACCAACGACTTTCCGAGGCATCCCCCTCATCAGTTGTCACCAAATTCCCAGTACCAACTAAGTTTCCAACAATCTTATCAGTACCAAACCCTGATTTAGGCACTAATTTTTCAGACCCCTCAGCTTTCTTTCTCCAAATACCTTTCTTGCTGTTACTATAACAACGAACAGGTGTTTTTCCAAATTTCACACCCCCAAATTGTTCTTTCAATGGATTATGAGCAGTAGAATTCGATAATTTCTTCGACAAACAAACTTCAGAAGTATTTTGGCATTCAAATGCCATAAAAGAATATTCCTAACACTCTAAAATTACTGTACAATTGAATACCTAAGCACCAAAATTTGTCAAACTAATCAAACACGCTCAAACAAATCAAACCCTTTTCAAATTTTGTTTCTGAAAAAAAAATCAAGCGAACCCCAGCAACTGTACCCTCAATATCAATCAAAATCGAACGCAAAAACCCCAGAAATCAAACCCTAAATGTAATTGGAAAATTGGGGCAGCTAAAAGAAATTGGGATATAATTTGGCAGAAAACAATAGAAAAGGCAAAGAAATTAAAAGGGAAAGAATCCAAATGTCCCAAGAATTAAGGGAGATTGCGAAGATTACCTTTACAACAACAACGAGAAAGCAGCAGCGAAGATCGAGCGAAAGAATGAACGTAGGAAGGAAGAATGAGAGGAGAGAGAAAATAAGTGTCCCGGCACCAATACTGATGGACGGTTTATGATGATTTGATGATGCAATTTGAACCGTTTGATTTGGTAATTTATTCATATTCACAATCTCCACACAATTTTCTCAAATTTATTATCTAGTTAAGCCAGGTTCACTTCACCATAAAAAATAAATATTAAGCAAAAATAATTTCAATTCATTAAAAATAAGTTCAGTTCAGTAAAAATAAGTTCAGTTCAGTAAAATTCGGTAACTATAAAAATGAAATATAAACAGAAAATCAGTAAAAATAATTTCAGTTCAGCAAAAATAATTACACTTTAGTAAAATTAATTTCAGTTCAGCAAAAATAATTTCAGTTCGGTAAAATTAATTTCAGTTCAGCAAAAATAATTTCAGTTCAGCAAAAATAATTTAAGTTCAGCAAAAATAAATTAAGTTCAGTAAAATAATTTCAATTCGGCAAAAATAAGGTGAAGTGAACGGGTCTTACTCTATGATGCTAATTGAATTTAATTTTAATTTTATTTTTTTTTTTTGACAAGATTTTAATTTACTAGGTAAACTATTTAATGAGGTACACTTTAGGAAAAAATAGATGAAACCCGTGCAATGCACGATTTGTTTGTATTTTTTACAACTTATATTTTTTTTCGTATGTTTGTGATAAAATTTGTTACTCTATTTATTCGTTGTACGTAGCATATCATATTATCATTTAAAATTTTTATTTTATCTATTTTAAAATAAATTGTGAATTTTATCTCATTCGTTATATATTTAGATGAAATTCTTAATATTAAAAGATAATATTTTATATTTAATTAATTTAAACTTTAAAATCTCATTCGCCAATTTTATTAATGGCATTTGAATTATTTAATTCTAAAAGAAAGAAAAAGAGAAAGGATATATTTTTAATTTCAATGAGTTTTTTATTATTTATTGTATCTAATTTAAAACTATTTTTCTTTTTTTTTTCTTAAAGAAAACTGATATATTTTTTTAATTGAACGTGATTTCATTTTTTTATAAGGACATTTTTATAAAATATTTAATTAAAATAAATTGCCATATTTTCATTATTTTTTTTATCTAATCCAATTTTTTTAAATATCAATTGAATGTGAATTTCATTTTTTTTAGGTTTAATAATATGTTTTTATACATAAGAAATAGTATAAGTTGTGTCTTTTCTCTTAGATAAAATTACAAATTTAAAAAGATAGTATTTTCATTTTTATTTTAAATTTAAATTTTTAATTTTAATCTTACGTGGCGCTTTAAAATAACAATCCTACGTGGCATAATCCTATACGTAATACTCCAAAAATACTAATCCTACAAGGCGTTCTAATAATTTTTTAAAAATAAAAAAAAAACTAGGTGGCTCTCTAAAATCTTGGGAAAAAATCTCTCATATATATATATATATATATATATATATATATATATATATATATATATACTAGATGGAAGCCCGTGCGATGCACGGTTTTTTCATCTAAGATTTTTAATTATTTAATTTATTGTATTTAATAATTTCAGACAAAATATGATATTTTTTTCGTTATATAAAATCTTTAATGTGAAATGATAAATTTTTAATAATGTAAATCCTAAATCATTATTCATTGTTTTACCGTATCTTTTATTTCGATAGAATCACCAACCTTGTCCACAACCAACCTACTACATCAATGGATAAATTGAACCGTGAAATGTTAGCCAAACTGAAATTGATATAAATTAAATGTTTACATTTATATAAAATAAATCAATATATTTACCAATAAATGAATGAAAAATTGTGGCGATATAAAATCAAATCTATGCATTGGAATTTTTTCATCATCTCCAAAAATAACCAAAGCCATCCATATATTAAGTATACAACATCTAATCGTATGCCATTACATAAACAAATAATCGTTAAGTATCCTAAATAAATACAATGTAACTAATAATTACAAATATAAATTTAAACATAAGATTTTGAAAATTACCCGGACATTGATGACCTAAAACTAACATAAAATTACTAACACAAAACTCGCTTGATGGGGTTTTGTATTGATATGAAATTTTGTTTGTGTCGAATGATGTGTTAGATCTGCATGTAAAAAAACATTTTAGTAAATAAAACATAAACATATAATCGTTGAGTATCCCAAATTAATACAATGTAAGTAATAATTAGAAATACTAATTTAAACATAGGATTTTAAAAATTAAGCTAAAAATTACCCGACCATTGATGACCAAAAATTAACACAAAATTACTAACACAAAATTCGCTTGATGGGGTTTTTTTATTAATACGAAATTTTGTTTGTGTCGTATGATGTGTTAATTTATAATGGTAGGTATCACAAATTTTAATTTAATTATAATTAACGAACAATTTGTATATCCTATCATAAATACTATCAAAATTTACCTTATAATAATAGGTATCAAACTTTATTATAAGCGTTTATCATTTAAATATTTCTTAGTATATTCTTTTTTTTAGATTTTTTATACTCGTAGTATTGAATTAATACATTTATCTTTTCCTATATTTTTACTTTATTTTTTTTCATTAAAATAATTTAATTCGTGAATTATAATCTACTTGGTATTAAAATTTTAGATATATCAAATCTAATTCTTTACTTTAAACTTGGTGGCGACATAATTTTTTAATTCAAAAATAAAATACAAATTTTTCTTCTTATTGGTCAAAATAAGTATATTTCTTACGTGGCGCTCCCAATGCTCTCCAAAAATGCGTACTTCATTTATATATATTAGATATATTAGAAAATTAGATTAGATGTGGAAATTTTTGATACACATACAACCATTATATGTTGTCTTTACATACAACACCAACAGAAATTTGACACATCATCAAAAGAGGGGAGAATTATAAGTCAAATATAAATTGATGAATTTAATGGAACTTGGTCTTATTATTCTAGCCAATAAAAACATGACAAATTAAAGTTGTATGTTGGGACCACATACAACAGTTGTATGTGTAGCCTTTACCCTCAAGTATGTGTATACAATCATATGATGTAGATGGGTACATTCATACATCTACTAAGGAATTTTACTCTTTTAAAAACTATTTAAATGATACGGGTAAAAAAAAGAGTTTTCTTGAAAGTGAGATGAAATTTGATGGTGGTGATTATGAAATCATAATCAAATAGAATAAGTTTTTCGATAATTTTCATTCATCTTAAATTTGTAATGATTAAAAAGTAAGATGAAAATGGTGGAGATTGTGATACTGTATTAAACTTACTCCACAAAGATAATACTAGTAAGTTTACTTCACCAAAACATATATATCATTTGTCTTTTCAACCCTTGATTCCAAAATATTCGTAGATAGTTTGATTATTTCAATAGCCTTTAATTTATCCTCTAGGAAAATATTTCAGCAAGGTTAGGCATCAAGGTGTTTTCTATGCTCCCAAGGGAGCATGCTATTTGGTGGTCAAAGACTCAAAGTCATCTAATTTTTGTCTTGACACATGACTAGGCATCCCTAGTAATATGTTAAGTCACCTACCTTGGTCATACCATGTTTTATTAGGATCATATTCATGTCTCATCTTTCCGAAAATACCCTAAGACGAGTCAAGATGCTAAGTTTGATGACTATATATAGGTGTTTTTTTAAGGGATGAAGCGTTTTTGTCAATGATTTATGCTAGCGCCTTGGCTGTTGAGTCGTTGACTAAGCTACAACGCCGCTAGACCAGTGTCCATAGGACCATACCTTAACCTTGTGCCTTGTGTGGGTAACAGCAACGCCTTTGGGCCTTGAGCTGGGCATGGACAGCACCAGCACCCAAGGCCTAGATCTAATATGGATCAATTTCAGAAAAAATTTCATAGATGTCACGTTTTCTGGGGGATCAGGGGATGATGCATTCATATTCCATCACAACATAAATTCTTCAAAAACATAATTGGTCAACACTTAAAAATGTACTCCGTATACTCCATAGTATAATTGAATAAAATCTCCTGCCTTAATTATTATTATTAATTTGAATAGTTGAACTAGGAGCTAAAATTAAGTACAGCAACAAATACAAATGTGAATGAAATGGTCAAATAAATAGGGAAGTATAATCAAAGCATTTAAGCAAACACGAACTAAATGAACATCGGTTCAAAGGACATAATTTGATCTACTCTTCAAAGTTTAAATAACGTGAATGCCATTGCAAAGCCAGCAGCAAGATAAGCTACATTGAAATGTGCACTTGATGAGGCTCCATTCTTCCCTGCTGAATCTCCTCCTGCTGCCTCCGGCGACATTCCACCTGCATCCGGTGACATCCCGGCTGCAAAAGAATGTATATTTGGATTAAAAGATATCAGCTAAAACTATGTAAGGGAGTTATACAGCTTATAAGTCTACGCACTTATATTGTGTGCTTGCTAACGAATTCGCGTACTTCTCCTAAAGTTAACACCCAACAATCAAGTATATAAAAGAATGATGAAATTTATATTCTTTAACAAATATATTGCAAAAAGTGAATTTTTTTTTTTTTTTTATTGGATGTTCTTATTGATAAAATGTGTGTAACCAAGAATGGTGGAGTTACCTAGTGGTGCCGATGAAGGTCCTCCTGCTGATGGTGCACCTACTGGGTATCCAGCCACTGTAAGACAAATATAACTTTAGATCTTCTTCTAAATTTAACACTAATATTTTTAGATATAGTTTCAAATGAACAACATTATCATGAATTCATTTATATGATCATGTCAAATCCATATTTACTAAACCAAAAACTAACATTTCGCATTACATAGTCAAATTATAAGAAATTGAACTTTAACATGTGATATAGTGTTACAGTCATGGTCCGATTGGCCTTGGCTAGTCTGATTTGCAAAAGGGGTCATATTTAGAGCTTGCAAAATTTTACCCAATCTAAAAATTCGCTCCAAAAATAGGTAGAATCTTGAACAAAACTCGAATTGAAAAAAAAACAAATAGTTTGACCCTAATACCGACCTACATTGGACCGGGGTTATTTGACCCGAAACCGATTGACCGACTCATTTGACAGATGTTGCTGGAAAAAATAATCAATGAAGTAGTGTCATGATACTGTGGTTGCAGGAGTGTTAGTTAACTTAGTACTGATACAAAATTTAATGGCTAACTTCCCTAACCCCACCAACTTAAAGATTCAGAATTGCTATGAAATAAATGTACAGTTTACCAGATAACCATATCTCTGTCTTATGCATTTATGCTACAGCATATGAGCTAGAGGCTGGAGCACACAATTCAATGCTTCAAGAGATTAGAATTGCCATGTTTGGGAGGTTAGATCAAGCAATTTTTGGGTTTGGTGTTGAATAAATTTTAGCCTTTGAAACTAAAGTTACAATAATAATGTGTTCATCTTGAGAAAAAATGAGCTTAGTGTCAAGGAAAACCTACATGTTAGGTCATGCAATCAATTGAATTCCTCGTATGTTGTCCTAAACATATTCTACTATTAACTGTATAACATGATTTTTAAAGAATCCGACTAAATCACCTTAAAAATTAGGCAACTAACAAGCGGTGAAATATCAACAATGTACTTATATAAGTTAAGTACAAAATGACAATTTTTTACTGTAGATCATTAGATTTTTTTGATACAATAAAGTAACTACATTTAAAACACCATCATATGATTATCATATTAACATCACCATACCAATCAGCTTTACCAATTGCAAATAATATAAAAACATACATTATTATTGCTAGTTAACTTGGTTAATTATACTTCCAAATCTTTCTACTATAACTATTATATTTAACACTATATTTAAGACCCCAAAAAAATTAGCATACATAATAAACCAACCCAAAACAAGAACACATTTCACAAAAAATGTTAACCTGTAAACAAAAACTCAAAACGGTAACGAACAAGCCTTTAATCAACTTCAAAATCCAACAAACAAATACATACCTGAACACAAGCTAACATCAGGAGTTTGAAGTCCACAAACAGAAGGCAATTTAAGAGCTTTCTTAAGATCCAAATCAATTGGAAAATCCTTATTTTTACCCAACATTTGACACAAACAAATTGGGTTAGTATCCAACATTCCAGCTAATTCAGGGCAACAATTTTTATCAAGTTTTGCTGATTTACTCCCTTTCTCAACATAAGTCAAACAATCTGACATATTGTATATCAGGCTCATACAGTCTGACCCCGCCGTGCCCGGCCCCTCCGCCGGCGACGGCGCCGGAACCGCCGTCTGACCCTCCACATTCAAGCTTCCGATTGAAATCAGCCCAAAAATCACAACTACCCACATCGTAGTTTTCGAGAAATTTGCCATATTTTGCTTCTTTTCTTGTTCCCCTGTTTTTTGGGGTTGCTCTGTTTTTGGCTGATGAGAGTGAAGAGAGTTTAACGTTGTGGTGTTGATATATGAAAGAATATGATGGTATATTTATTTTAAGAGTAAGGTATAAATAAATAAATAAGAATTTATTAGATGAAAAATTAATAAATGTGAAAACCTAACTTCCAACTATCTTATTATTTTTGGACTTCAATGTGCTCACCTCACTATTGCCTCTTCCATGAAAGATGTCGTGACAATTACAAACTTTTCTTTTTTATTTTTCACTTTTTCAACTTTTTTTTATTTTTCTAAAGTGAAATCATTTTGAAACTAATTTATTAATACTACTAATATGGAGTTTTAGGTCAAACAAGTCATCATAAGTTAACTACTAGTGTTTGTTTCTTAAAAAAAAAATTAAAAAAATATATATATAAATTACTAGTGTTTGTTCAACTCAATTCCATTGCAAAATAAATATTTGAAAGCTGATAGATATTATAAAAATATAAAATATTTATCGCAGATTTATGATATATTTTGTATATTTATCATTTTAGGTATTTCTTAATGTAGGATAAGATTGTGTACATCTGAACCTCTCTAAACTCTATCTATCTTAACCGTCTATTGAGAGTAATGTAAAGATCAATGATACTGATTACAATTTTCCTTTTAAAAAAGTGTTTAAAAAAATGTGACTTTTATTTAAATACGGTGGGAGTATTATAATTTCGGAGCACCTTACAAGCTTACACTGAATTTTAAGAGAATGATACACCATCCAACTACCAACGAAACTCCAATGTAAAAGCCCACATGCAAGTGGACCGCAATATTTGTTGTCCACAAGTTATACCAAGCTAATTTGCTTTCTTCTTCTTGAAGATACACCTATGTAGGTTGCACTTCGAAAGCTGTGACAACATTTTTTAGGCAAACATCTTCATAAGTTAATGCCATAAGCATTGCCAAAACAAAAAAGCTAATACCATAAGGAATACTTGTACAATGTTAAACGTTTTTCCACCCCAAAAATAAAATTAGAAGTAATTTTGAAACTTTCTTGTGATCATGGACATTTTTGTTTGTACTTTCGGGAAATTTTCCTATTAGATTAGAGAGTGAAGAGAATTTAAGGAGTTAGGAAAAAACACAAAATAGGTTAAAAAAAAAAATTGACCCATGCACTATTGCATGTACATTCATTGAGTAAACTAGATTCTTTTGCATTGAATTTACATATAATTAATAAACTACACGTTTTGAGTTTATTTTTATTTTTTTTTATACACATTTTTAGTTCAATTAGTTAATCTTAGAATTAAAATTCGTTAGAGTTTAAAACAAAAATAACTTAATTGAACTTAATTAAAAAAAAAATACGAAGTAATAATAATAGACGGAGTATAATGTAGAAAAATATAGGTAGAGATCTCTCATTTTCATCTTGCTAAAAGACAGCATATATATTGCGTTATATGGGCCTACAAATATGTATTGCTTGATTTGTTTCCCACAAGTTATGGACCTTATTTATATTTTCTTTAGTTTATAATTATTGGTTAGATATAATTAGGCAATGTGGAAGCGTTTTTTGTGTCTTGTGGTAGATAGCTGGTATTGAATTGATCCATATGAGCTGTGTATATTATAACAATATGGATGCATTAAATGAAAAATCTTCTAAACTTGGAATTGTTAGGAATGAAATATGGAGCTGCTCCAAGTTTGCAACACCGACCAACAACGCGACTACTAGTGACTAGTGTATAGAACTCTCCATTTCCTTTACGAATTGAAAAGGCTGGTACCTAAAATAACGGTCGGATGTGCATGATAGGAAATTAGGAGCGCTTATTAAGATTGTTTTTTCTATTTTTATCTTAATCTTAATTAAGGGAAAAAATAAAGACATTGCTTGTGTCATGATTATCCTTGAGAAAATTGTTTTTTAAGAAAATCATTAGTAAGCTAATCATGTGATTGCTCTTTAATTGCAACCTTTTCAACAAAGAAAGGGACAATATGTAACGGATATATTGAACTTTGTTTTTACCTCATAAAAAATGTCTAAAGTTTTGTTGTTCACTATGATTTACTTTAATAAAAACAAAATTTGTATTAGTTGTAAATTAATATATTAATTGTTAATGAGTCCAAGAAAAAGCTAATCAAAGTTTACATCTATAATGTTTTGTTATCATTCTTTACTCAAATAAAGTATTCTTCCTAGACTCTACAGTTCAAACCAAAATGGCTAATAATGAGAAATATGAAAGGTAAAATATTCTATGTAGGTATAGAAAATAGAGAGAAAAAAAAAAAAAAAAAAAAAAAAAAGCTCCTTGGTTTGTATTTTTTTTTTTTTTTTTTGACAACATTGATTTGTATATATGACACATCTTTAACGATGGTATATGTATATTTGACAGGATTGCGGTGGTCACCGGGGCTAACAAAGGCATCGGATTCGAGATCGTTAGGCAGTTGGCAGCGGCTGGGGTGACGGTGGTGTTGACGGCGAGAGATGAAAGAAGAGGAGTGGAGGCCACCTCAAAGATTCATAGCTTAGGCCTCTCAAATGTGGTGTTCCATCAGATGGATGTCACAGATATTAATAGCATCACCTCATTGGTTCATTTCATTAAGGCTAAGTTTGGGAGACTAGATATCTTGGTATGTTTTCTTTCAATCAGATTTTTCATTGACATAGTAGAATAACTGGGCACAAGGGTAGTTAAGTTGGTAGTTACCCGTCGGTCTAGGGGTGAGACCCGAGGTTGAGTCCCCCACACGAATCGATGGTATTGGGAAATCACTAAAAAGCTAGTTATTATACCTAAGATAGGCAAGCTTGGCTTAGGCCGAACCATCTCTAGATGTTAACTAGCTTAATTTAAAAAAATTACAAAAAGTAGATCAAATGCTAGTGTACTTAGCTGTTAACAATTTCTAAATCTCCTACACACGTACAAGTATCACGTATGTGAAAAGAATAGATTGAACATTTGCTACTGAATCAAAAAATAAGTTGGACTATTGGCAACTTAAATTGATCAAAGAGCAAAAAAGAACATAATGTTGGTATTTTGTAACAGAACATAAGCAAAAACACAACCATAACATATGAGGGTTTCATGTGAAGCTTACCAAATATAATCTTTGGGCTAGGCATAGCATGTGTTTTCAATCAGTCAAGCAGGAGGCTCGTAAACACGAGCTTGTCCTTATGAGCCACGCCATCCGGGCTGACCCCATGGTCTGCAGGTGAGCTCTGCTGTCACTGAAGACTGACAGTAAGATACTGCATGCTCACAGGTGAACAATGCTGGTGCTTCTGGAATGGAGGTTGATGATGAAGGATTAAGAGCCTTAAATATTGATGCAGCTACTTGGGTAAGGTTAATACATACATTATTATTCAATCATCTGTCCTAAAAGTAAACAAGCTAACTGATGGTGTTTATTCCTGTCCCTTAACTAGAAATCAGGGAAAGCAGCTAGTTTGGTTCAAGGGGTAATGAAAACAACATATGAGAAAGCAGAAGAGTGTTTTAACACTAATTACTACGGTGCAGAAGAAGTAGCTGAAGCTTTGCTTCCATTGTTAAAGCTTTCAACTACTGGTGCAAGGATTGTAAATATTTCCTCTCTTAGAGGAGAATTATGGGTATGTGAATCAAATAACCTTTATTTTGTCACAAACATATTACACATGTTTATAAGTACTAGAGCTAGTCCAGGTTGACAAAGCCGGATTTCTTATCTACTGCCTAGCCCGAAATGTGACCTAAGTTGATGAGTCAGGTCCGAATGAGATGCCTAGTCCTAGTGCCTAATATCTGGCTCATCCCAGCTTGGACCATGATCAGCTCTAGAAAAAAAATTGATGCATATATCATAATGTCGATTCTTCTTATGCAGAGAATTCCAAATGATCAGATTCGAAGCAAGTTTACTAATATAGAGAACCTTACAGAAGCCGAGATTCATGAGATACTGCAAAAATTCTTGCAAGATGTGAAGCAAGAAACATTGATAGAGAATGGATGGCCCTTGATGTTACCAGCATATGGCATTTCCAAGACAGCACTTAATGCATACACCAGACTTCTTGCTAGGAAATACCCTGAAATGTACATAAACTGTGTTCATCCAGGCTATGTTGATACAGATTTAGCTTGGCATACAGGACCTATGAGTCCGGAAGACGGAGCCAAAGCACCAGTCAGATTGGCCCTGTCACCTGAAGGTGGACCTACAGGGTGCTACTTCGACCAGATGAAAGTAGCTAGCTTTTGATCTCATCTAGCAGGAGAGAATAACAAATTGAGGGCTGTTTGATTCCAAAGAACATTAGGATCCAATCTGTTCGTTTCTGAAAATTCAAATTTATTACTCGAGACAATTTTGCAATAAAAATAATCAAAACTTCTGGCCACAGGTCATGGTAGTATCATAATCTAATGGTCAGCATCTACATGTCATATAACTCATATTGTAAATAAAAGCAACAGAGATAAAGATCAAACACCTAGCAGTATCTGTAATCATCTTATATTTTCCAAGAACCAAACATACTGCGAATTGCAGAAGCATAGGCGGAATCAGATTCATCATCTGACTGATCTTTTTTCTTTTGTATCATCATTCAATTCGCAACATGAATGTTCTTTTGGTACTTTTTCATGTTAGTGCTATTACTCCAAGACCAAGGATGTGAAGAAGCACAGGCGGAATCAGATTCATCATCCTGATGGATAAGCGTGTGTTCCTAGGTTTTTTTTTTGTTTTTTTTTTTTTGAGGAATTATTGGCTTGAACAAGTTCTGCATAGCCGGATAATTAAGCTGGCCATTGAGTATGTGAACTCCAAGGATCTCAGAGCCTCAGACAATTCTTGGAAGAGATCTTGATGAAGAAGGCAGGTCCTCCTCTGACGTATGTATGCCAAGATGTGCCAGGGAAAAACATCTGCGACTTCAGCGCCCATAAAAAATGAGCAAAAATGAAGTGATACAATTGAAAAATGAGTGATTATGGAAAGAGATGCACTTAAAAATATAAAATAAAATAAAATAAGCGAATTAACAAAATTTGCAATAGTTAGTACCTTGAAAAACTATTACTTCCAATAAAAATTAATATAGTCAAGCAATTCCCAATCAATAATCAATTAAGCATAAAATAATTTCACTCACACAATTTTTTTAATAATTGAACCATTCTCAAAATCTTCCTCAATAACTTTATCTTGGTGAAGAATAGTAAAATCATTCACAAAGCATCATTACTACTTTAGCAAATATGACAATTTTTTCAGTTCGTTCTAAAAATGTACAAGTGACTAATATATCCAAATGGAAGGAATAACTTGCTTGCTGCGGATATAGTCAGAAGATGAAAGCGAAGCGCTGCAAATCATTTGTTTCCTAGATCTAAATCCTGAAAACTCTGGATATATCCCCTTTTCTGCATCTTGGAAGCTTGCTAAACAGTATTTTTTAAAGTTGATACAAACAATTTCTTGATCAAGTAAAGAGATCCTGTAAATCAAGGATATCAGCAAGGACACCAGCTGCTGTCGTGTCATTACCAGCTCCGGCTCCTTGGATGATCAATGGCTGCTCGCTATAACACCTACTGTATACTTCCAGCTGCAGGTATCACACTTCAATAGTCAGGATTACAGGTTGTAGCACCTTACCAACTTAACGCTCAATAAAATCATAAAACTTCTACAAATCCATTTCAAGCATCAACAAAAGCATTGAAATGCCACTGTGCCGGGACAGGCTGAGACGAAACACAGTATCACGAGGCACGACCTGTGGGCCTTTTTATAAAAAAATCATTGGTTTAATTTACAAAGCTACACATAATTTTCATTGAAAACAACTGAGTATGACACTTGGGTAGATATCCGTGTGACCATGCCTGACACAAGTACCCGAATTCAAGTAGCATAGCACAAAAACCATATCCAATTATAGATAAAGATAATAAGACCCAGGCAAATCAATGTATTTATAAGAGCTCCACACCTACAGACAAGCACTATACTGAATTGCTGTCATAAGATGATGTCAAATACAGTTGGGCATTACACACCAAATTTTGCAAATACTTACCACATTGTCACTTCCTCTTAGTCTTCCCAAGGCAGAGTTTTTGGGAAGTTCCTGAATTCCAACCTCGCACCTACAAAAGATGAGAGCCACAGCAGCAGAACATCTTTCAGAGCTATACAAGATTAATCCCCTGGCTAAAATAGCAATAACACGTGTTCAGTACCAAGTTCTCCTAAATTAAGAAGGATAGTAATGGTGTTTTAGCCAAATTTCTTATAATGACCACAAATAACAGGGCCTATTATTTAAGGATGGAGGGTGTAAATCTAATTTAGTATCTGTCGACTGAATACTGGTACCTGCTTTGGCTAGAACATTCTTTTCTTTTTACAAGTATTAAATGCATAATCAGGACAAAAAGAAAGAAAGATTATTAATACCTAGAACTCTCAATGACACAAACATAGCGTAGCACATTTCCACTGGAAGCCGCTTTTTCAACTCTATCTGCAAGACTGTTATCAAGTTGTGAAACACCATTAGCAAGAAAATCTTCCACGCTCATTGCATTAGGTCCCATTTCAGCAGGATATAAACTTTCCACCTATATATCATACAAAATTAGGAGCTCAGTCATGCTTTGCCAAAGGCATAAAAGGTTCAAAACACTTATTAATGCGAACCTTAATGCTGTCCAACTCAAGTCGTTGTCCGAGAAGACGAGCAACAATCAAAGCCTATTTCAAACCCACCAAAATAATTTCAGAATACAAACACCACAAGGACTCTAGTTATATGCGTCAACAGCTGATTAATAGTACAAAAAACAGCAGCCAATTTAGCATCACAGAATGATATTAAAATATATTGAGTCAAGCATATTAGTAGTTACAAACTAGCTTCCTGGCTGAAACAATTGCTAGTGAGTTCTGATTAATATTTAAGCATATAATGCATTTTCAAGCTAGTGAATTGATCAAAGACTATGGGGCCACTGGTCTATGAAAATATTTCCAGATAACAAATGCTCAGTGTGCAACAAATAGCAGTAAACGATTGTTTAGGGTTTCTTGGGCTGTTAGCACTAAAAGTTCATATTATTATCATGATAACTGAATGACCAAAAAGCAATACAAGACATAGTAACAAATTGATAATACTCCGAAGCTAATTATGCTTGGTTCTAGCACCAACCTTTCTTGCAACATCCATACCACCCAAGTCATCTCGAGGATCTGTAGTCACAAGAATAGAATCAATCAATCACAATTGAAAGGCGCTTTTGAGACATTGTGTCTCAATTCTAAAAAGTGAAATATTCAACTCCGGTCAATTCTATGATGAGATAAAAAATCATATATGTTGTATCTATTGATTGTTCAATATGTAATTAAAAATACACTAGGTACCTTAAGATCGCAGCAGAAACATAAGTAAACCATGTCCAACTTTAGTTCAACCTATTACAACAATTAATGCCAGATCTAAAAAAGAGATCCTTTTCATCATTACTCATTTATACTTCCCATACCCCATAACGTTTGGGATGGAAAAAGAACAGAGGTTATAGAGTGTGGAAATGCCCATAGGTCGTAAAATGGTGAGTATTATAATCTTACAATAAGCATTGGCTTTAGTTACTATATGTCCAAATAATGTACAGTAATGCACCAGAAACAGAGATTAGACCAAATGTTCCACATTTTGTAGTTCTATCACTTCTATATGTACTATCTTACCTGTTATGAGAAGCACATGGTCTAATCACTCATAAAACAGAGAAGTGCCATACCTAATTAGATCTCATTGTGTATTTTTCTCACCTTAAGCAGAAAAGAGACAAATCTAGAGGTTCACATTTATAAATAAACCACAGGTCACACAGTAAATGATCATCTAACCAATAATTGATAGCTCTATGATGCTAATAAAATGCACAACAGCAACAAGTTGCATCATATTTTCCCAAATTTAGTATACCATATGCAAGCCATGAATACATGATTTTTTCGATAGAAAGTTAATAACTACACACCTGGTTCTGTGTAACCAAGAGCTTTAGCAGTTTTTACAACTTGACTAAGAGGTTTCCCATCTTCTACTTCACTCATGACATACCCCAATGTACCTATCAGAAAGAGAAATGATACACTTGAATAATTCCTGCACTAATTATGGCTCACAGGATACAACAAATTTAATTAAGCTGAGAGGAAAGTGCAGGGTCAGCAGTGACACAACAAAGTAGTAATACCACTCAAGCTGCCAACAATACGATGGATAGTGTCCCCAGATGAAAGCAAGCGATTAATGGACATTATTACTGGAAGACCAGCACCAACCTACCAAAAATACAAGATCCCTATTTAAAAAAAATGACACAATTGCATTTAATATAAATTGAAAGGGCTGGAGCACAATAAAAACACACAAAGCATTACTACATGAATCTTAGAAGATCAAGGTTGATTCTAACAGCACATTTTGTGTCATATAATATCATGATGAATTAATTCATGGAATGGGACTTTCTATATAAATAATGCAAAGCAGCCAAGAAGACAAGGCAACAGAAAAATGATGTGTAGCAATACAAATAGCATGCAAGATAGTGGATAAATGGTATAGACCTGATGTCTACAGCCTGCTAGTGATAGATTTGAGGGTTAAGTAGTGTAAACGTAATTATGATGCATTTATAAAATGTCATACTTCAGATGAAGCCAAGTTAGCTGAGAGATTTTTTTTCAAGAAATGGGGAAGATAAAGCATGGAAAATAAGTATTACTAAATCCATCCCAGTAAAACTGCCTACTTTAACTTTTTACAAACACTGAAAATTTGTTATTTTTACTTGTCATTTTTTATGAATTTGGCAGAAGTGTATAGTTTGAAACATGAATCATGTGGTTGTGACTTGTAATTTAATCAAGTGTTGTATCAATCACTTTGAGAAATAAGTAAAAGTATTATGGAATATTGACCTCCCAAAAGGAAAGATGGCCATTTTTTTTTTTTTTTTTTTTGGGGTGGGGGGGGGGGTTTGGAGAGGGGGGTGAAATAAAAGTGCAGGATACAAAAATCTAAATGGAGCAGATAGGATAACCAAATTCATTCTACACATTCCATTCACCATACTTAAGGTCACTGGTATAAGGAATAAAACTTACAGTTGATTCGTGTCGAAGGCGACGTGGGTGCAATACCAACTTATCATAATCTTCCTGCAATCCAAAAGAGCATCTATTTAGATTGGACTTGATCGGCCATGCTAATGTATGAACAATACACCAAAAGGAAAAATTCTACTTTGCACTAGAATATCTAGGTGCATAATATGCAAGATTACAGATGATACCACAAAACAAAAGAAAAGCTGGACTAGTGGCAGAGTTTTCAGGACATGGCACTGCTATATCGTGAAGAAGACCGTATCAATGGAAGATCAAACTGCAAATAATCCAGGTGCATAGGGGAAAAAATAAACATAATAAAGGCTTAACTTCATTCTGTCTAGTTGAAGAAATAGTCTGAAAAGTTCATACATCCAAGGAGGAGAGATGAAATGCATATATCAGACAACAATTAATAGATCCATCGGTCTTGTAATGTATAGGTAAATGTAAGATGCTAAGGGATAAAAGAAGAATGGGAGAACCTAGAGGAACCACTTCTTCAATGTTCTTAAACCCCAAAATCAGAGAAGGTGCACATAAAAATGAAAACAAATTATTACCATTGAGGATGTTAGGGGCTTCTTATTTGCAAGTACAATGCAGACATTCATTTCAGCTACCTTCTGCAATATCCCTATAGTGTCTGAACTAGCAGAGCAGTCTACAACAGCCAATCCTGTCAAGCCAAGTTTGAAATGCCACAAAGCTGAGTGTTAACTACGGACACAAAATGTGTTCTAAGCTTTAAGCAAGGTTTTATCACAAAAAGAAATTGGAAACATAAATTTGTTTGGCTTAACAGTTAGGAGTGTAAGTTACTACATCACTCCTTATCATGGTTCATACAAAATACACAAGTTATATATCCAGGTTCCTAAAAACCTACACGAATTAGCATAATGGGTAGACCTCCTATCATGGATTAGAGGGAATATTACTATTCTTCTTTTCATCTTATTGCAGGGTAGTGACTAGTGAGAATAGGGAAGCAATGCAATTAAGTGATGCAAAATCAAAGTTTGTAAACCAGCCTTGTTTTATAAAGTGACTACTCTGACTAGTAAGCATCTGAACTACAAGTTTCAGGGAAACAGGAATAGATGCATTCAGTAGGCAGAAAAACAGAGATCAATTCCTAGTTTCCTACACCTACCTCCAACTTCCTACATAAGTGGCTGTTACTCAAGAGGGTAGATAAATGTCACTTTGTCGAAGTCATTTCTTTACCTCAAAGCTCATGTAATAAATGAAAGTAACTTTCTTTCCCAAATTTACAAGAATAGGTAAACCACTAGTAATTATACCAATGTTAATTCAAAATTTATTACTATACCAAGTTTCATTCACCGTCATAAAATGTTCAAATTTAACTTCTTGTCTATTGTCCTTAGGGCTACTTTTAGTATCTTCCTTTAGTGGTAATACTAAAAGTAGTAGAATGTCAATGCAATATTACTTGTCAACTAAAATTACAAACACGGTATTACTGATTAGAGATTACACTAAAATGCCATTGCATTACTATCAAATACCTAGGTTTACATTTCAATAAAGGAGGAACAAACCTGTGGATCGAACCAAATGACTAGCAATCTCAGTAATATTAGTGATTGTTTCAGAATCGGAGAATACTTGGTAATCACCTACATTTAACCAAACCCATCAAAAAACAAACCACAAAGTTTCAGATTCATTTCTCAAAAATCACAACTATCAATAGACAAAGATAAATAGATAATGGGGTAGGTGCGACACTACACTGGTACACCCCAATACCCGAGATCAAATCCCGTCTACATCATTGTGCGTGACTCCAAATACTCACCATATGATGTGAGAGAAGAAAGAGAAGAGCCATTGGATTTGAGGCGACAAATTTCACCAATAGAATGATCATCAAGCTCAGTGGTGAAGATATCCGGCACAGAAAGCAAAGATTTGCTATCTGCAACTCCCACCACTCTTAATCTTACTCCCTGCAAAAATCAAACAATCAAAATGAAACCCAGAAAAATTCAAAGTGAATAAATTCAATTCTGTGAATAAATTGAGGGGGAATTACATGATGTAGGGCATGAATGTCTCTGCAAGAAACAATGTGTTGGAGAAGCTGACGCCCAACACCTCCACAACCCATCACTATCAAAGGAATGCTCTTCATCTTTGGATCAATTCTGACTGAGGTTTTGGGTTTTAGTTGATTCTGATTGAGACTGGTAGAATGATAGATTGATTGATGATGTTGAGATATTGAGTTTTGGTGTTTTGGGTTTTTGTGTTTTGGGTTTGTTTTTGCACTGAATGACTAGTTTTTGCAAAAATGATGGTGGATGAAGCGTTGTCTAGCCCGTGTTGGCATTAAAAACTCGACAATACAAGAGGATCGTTTGTATGGTGTTATTTACCGATAATAAAGTTGATTTTTTAAGTTATCGGTGAATTTACAGAAACCTAATATTGAATCCATTCTACATTATTACTTTTTTTTAGGAAAATTCTACATCATGACTTCATTGCGCTCTTATCAACACTAAAAAAATTGTGTATACAAGTCTCACATTGACACATTGTATATTTGATTTATGTTTAAACTCAATCAATATTGGCCGTTATATACCTATAGTAGTTTGGGTATTATATTTCTCTATTAGTTGGCGTATAAGAGGTTAATCTCGTTTTATGCCAAATCCATAAGATATTATTCCCAAAAAAAAAAAAAAAAAAAACATAAGGTATTAGTTTATGGTGTCAATTCGCCATTTGTGACTACCCAAGTTCTCATTTATTTTCGCTTAATAAATATTTCAATCTAAGAAATACCCATCATATCTTGATGGTATCATGGAACATTAATTATGGACCTGTTGAAAGATTAAATGGATAACAAGGCTGCATTGTAGAAGTGTATCTCAAAGCCTTTTATCTCCTAACTACTTCGTATCATATTGATTTCTTTTAGCTACACGTATATGCTTTGACTGAAAATTTCTTTTTATATAGACAATTAATAGCGCAAATATTAGACATACATTATATAGTCTCAACGACCTCAAGAAAGAACTAGGAAGGCCTGAGTAACATAACATACCATACAAAAAGATTAAAAAAAATGGAAGACAATAACAAATCAAATGAGGTGCAATTAAATCCAAAGAAAGTAATTTTACCGGGATTGATTATGATGAGCACTAATACAGACAGTTCCATTATTAACAGTAGAAGAAACTTCAATACCAAGCTTAGAAGTTCTAAATCTAGACAACCTTCAAATCAAAGTTTAAAATCTAATTCTAGACAACCTTCAAGTCAAAGTTTAGAAGTTCTAATTCTAGACAGCATTTACTAACGCGCAGCTTATCCAGGGGAGGAGAGATAACTCTAATAAACCCACAGCGTTTATCTTCTAAAGAAAACAGTGCTGCATGCCGCATCCCCTTTCATCTATATACAGTTTGCCAGAAATTTGCATGGCATGCTCAGCAACTTCTGTAACTTATCTGCCATAGTGGAACAGCAATTTCAGTTAAATAAGTACAGAACACTGCTCATAAAAGAAAGAACACTGATAAGAAAAACAAACAATCAAAATAATTATCCAATCATTACAGGCGCGGGTGGAGCTAAGGTAAAATTTAAGTACTTATCCTCCCTACCCAATCATATTCTCAGCAACCTATCAGAATAATTAAGACTTCGTGGCTATTAGCAACAACATCCAGTAAAATTTCAATGGACTATCAAAATAATATGAAGTATAAACAAAAGATAAGAAATTCAGTACCACTGCTGGTTTTTCTTAAACTCAGTAAGCACAGGATATATGTTCTCAAAGGCAGTGTAAGTCTCTTCTCTCACCTGCATGATATCCAAAGTTACAATTAATCCATAGTAGAAACCCTGGGTCAGAGTTTGACACAAAATACACAAAACACAAGATAAACTCACCTTAGCTCCTGTCAGAACTATCTTTCCTGAGACGAATATAAGCAGCACAATCTTTGGTTGTTTCATTCGATAGATCAAGCCAGGAAATAGTTCTGGTTCATACTGTAAACCAAAAACATTTCATGGAATTCTGACATTGTTAATACAGCATTCCATTGGAATCCCTGACTTTGTTATTACTAACATTTTGTTGGCCATTTTATGAAGGAACATGACATATAGTTGAATAACATCAAAGACCTGATACTTCCAATCAGAAAGAGACAATGCCAGGCTCAAACAGAGATGATATTACTCACACTAGAAAAGGCACCATGAGAGTATGCAAGCCCCTCCAGTCTGATAGGAAATTTTACATCACACGATGCCACTATGTTCTGGATTCTGAAATTCTGCAAAAGGCAACTAAAGCATGAGATTTACTTGCCTACAATAACCCTGCAAATAAAAAGGCAAGATATAAGAAAAAAGGATGCACAAACAAAGCAAATAAGGGATACCTTGAATGAGGCGGGGAATCCCAGCTTCTGTATAATTCGAGCATACTGAAAGAGAGAATAACATGAGATATAATAACCAAACATCAAGAAACAAAATAGTCAAGTACACAAATCTGCAAAAATAATAATGCAAATTGACTTACCTTACGAGCAGCTAGTTTTGAGTCCTGCTCACTCTTAGCTCCGGTGCAAACCTAGATTGCCACATAATCATCAGTGAATGAGCACACATTGAATAAAAACCCACTCAAAGACACTTTTAATGAAAATCTCTTAAGTCGACTATAATGAGAACGAGGAAGAAGATAACCAATATAAAATGGAATCGTTAGTGAAGCTATGGTTTAACATGCATGACAACTCGTATTCAGGTGGTATAAGTGAACACAAAACAATCAACACGGTGGTCTGATAAAACATAATGAGAACTTCTATTATATATCCATCCTTCCCCTATATATAAAGAGCTAAGATACAAGCTCACCATCTTTCCTGAAGCAAATACTAGGGCTGTTGTCTTTGGCTCCCTTATCCTCATAATGACAGCCGCAAAACGCTACAGAACAGCAGAATAGGAAACAATTATAAGTATTTTAGGTAATTATAAAAAAAATTATACAATTCATTGAATGTCAGACACGTTACACTGCACATCACAAACCCTAAGAATCTACCTTTGGATTATACTCTGCATTACGAGCTTGCAGTGCAATAGATTTCAGCTCCAACTTGCAGTCCAAGTTGACAGTTGATACGATGTTCCTACAAAATAAACGCGTCAACATGATAAAACGTTCAAATTTAATAACAGTCAGCATGTTGACGTCAAAGCTTTGATTCCCGCCAATAATGAAGAAAGTTGACCAAATAAGAAGCAAACAGATGCGTACCACAAGGAAACATAAAATTTAACCCCGGAATATAACATCATAAGCATCAACTCATGCATAAATACTAACATCTAAGAAATAATATCCATTGTCAAATAACTACCGTAGCACTATCACCACCTAACAACATCAGCCACTCAGAAGCAATAATCACATATAATCTCTCCCTACCTGAATTTTCTTCACTTTGACTTCAAAATTCAAACAATATACTTCGTATAACTCTGTACTTATAATACAAGAAGCAGCGGATAACTCGGTTTTACATTATCATGTAAAATCTTTCTAGGTTTTGTTTCAACTATATTTGTGGGACAAACAAAATAGAAATAACAAGATTAATCTTAGAGACCATAAAAAGAGGGTGTGAAGAAAAATCAATTATAAATCTTCGACGAAAAGGGTTATCTTCGGGGAAAACGACAAAAAACCTTCAATTTCGTAAGGCAATTTAACCAAATATTGCTGGTTTTGACTCATAATTCATTCTACAATCCAGATGCAACATTAAAGTATCACTTTGTAATATCAATGCATAATTATATAGGTCGTTTTGCACTACTAATACAACACAATCAACCAATTTCAAAAAAAATAAATGCAGTATAATTTGAAGCATATTATTGATGATTCCACTCAAAATAAACCCTAACTACCAATATCAAGGTTCAATAACCCAAATTCAATCAAACATACTGGAGAGTAGGGATGATCCCAGATGGATGTCTCGACTGATCTACAGGTTGACCACCTTCCAAGCCCTGTTCTTCCATGTCAATTCCTCTTTCTTTCTTTCTGTTCAAATCAAATTAGGGAAAATTATTAACTTACTCACTATTAAATTAAAATTAAACCCCAATTTCCTAACTACTAAAATTCTCTTTTTTTTTATGTTCTCTTTTAATTCCATTCACTTTTAATTTCTCTTAAGAAAAAAAATTGACACAAAAAAAGGGATACCCAGTTCATCATCATGCTTGAATCGACAAAAATTGTGAAATAAACAAGAGGGTTTTTCAACAAATTCTTCTTTTTCCTACCTATAATTAGGGTTTAAGTAAAATCCGACTATACTAAAAATTGATGAAAATTGTAGGCAAATTTGTGATAAAAAGATTGTTTAATCTAATATTAATTGCAATTTCAGAAAAAGAAATAAAGGAAATTGAGAAAATGAATATTAAAGAGAGCTCACTGACGCTAAAATCGCCGGGATTTAACCGGTGATCTGATCGTGAATTGCAGGTGAAGTTTGCAGATCTGGAAACGCCGGTGAAAGAGAGGAGGAAGAGGAGAGAGAAAAAGGGAAAAAGAAGGGTCAATGAAATTTGAAAGATTGGGGATTTTATATAAGTTTTCTAAATATCAAGGTATTTATAATAGATTATGATGCATAAACCGCCTCTATTATTCTCTTAATACCCTTTTCCTAATTGGACTTGGATTTGGATTGTTTTATAAATAAAAAATGGACTTGGATTGTACAAAGTTACAAACTTCCCTTCATTTTCTAATTAGGGCCGGTTCATTATCGTTTTTTTTATTTGTGCAATATAAAAAATATAAAAAATGTTTTTATTAAAAGTATAAAAATTAATGTTCAATTTGTTTAGAAAAAAAAATTAATGATCAAAATTGTATTTTGATAAATGTGCATAGTCATACTGGTGCACTTTTTTTGTTGATAAAGGGAGTACAACTGAACAACACATGTATTGTATATTAGCTCAACCTCGATAATAAAAATATTATGTGCAATTAAACTTTTGGTGAAAACAAATATGAAATGCAAGTAAACAATCGATATTAGAATTATCTCAAAATCTTATTTAATTACAAAATACACCTGGTATAAAACATTGTGCTAATTATAAGACTTTTTAGCCCAAGGACTTTAAGCCTAATACTATTTTTATTATTTTTGTTTTTATACGAAGTAATTGATACATAACAAAAACTTCTAACATTAATTAGTTACACCAAATACTATTTTTTATTATTTTTGTTTTTATAGTATTATATCCGAAGTATAACACAAATTTATTTTTATAAGCAATAATGCAACATACTTTATTTTACGTCATAAGGTATCACACGGACCTAACAACGACTCAACGAGTACTCACCTAACAACTAGTAGTCAGTAGTTCATTACTTGTACATATATACGACTATACAAATACTTGTTTACGTGGTGATCATAATTGTTTACGTGGTGATCATATGGCAAGAACAAAATTTAAATAATTGTTTACGTGGTGATCATATGGCAAGAACAAAATTTAAATAATTGTTTACGTGGTGATCATATGGCAAGAACAAAATTTAAATAAGAATGAACGTAGAATGCCGAACATTAATATTTAGATCCGACGGCTGACATTATATGCGTGTCATTAATCATCTTCCTATGTTTTAATTCTAATTGTTATAAATCACTTTTTCGCTGCACCTCTTTCTCTCTCCTCCATTGAAGCGTGGTCTGAATTCTCCATTGAAGCGCCTTCCAAGCTTTCTCTCCTCCATTGAAGCAGCTTCTGGGGTAAGATTTTTTTATATTTTAATCTTCGAATATAAATTTTCACATATTAGGTTTATATTTCACACTTTTGTTGATTTATTTGTCAGTGTAGTCAATTTAGGGTTCATCTAAGGTGGATTATTGAACTATTATTGGTTATAATTACTGAAGTATGATAGATTATAGCGAGCGATTTTATTGCTAGATTTTTTCTGTGTGTAATTTACGTTGATGTATTGAAGTGAGAAGACTTTTATGTGATTTTTTAGCCTAATATATTGATTTGAGTGAAATTTGTTTGCTAATGTGTTGCATTTATTGAAGACATTTGATGAAAAGTAATTGTCCTTTAATTTGATTAGTTATCTGAGCTTCTTAAATCGTTTTTTAAAATTTAGAAACTCTATAATTTGTGATAATATTGACCCTTAATTTAACTGGTTATGATGCTTATTGTTTTTTCAAATTTTAGATAATTTTGGTATAGTGGGAGGGAATTAAGCTAAGCTTCATTATAGGGGTTTTAATTTCTAGCTAGTATTTCTAGATTACTTAGAGTGGAGGTTAAAATTTTAATTTTTGTTGTTGTTTCTGTTGTTTATTATGTGGGAGTGATTTTCTTAAATTGCTGAAAATTTTTAATTTTTGAATTGAATAATGAGATTTTGATCATTGCCTTTAATTATAAATGTATAATGTGCTACATTGCTATGTATCCTCATTCATCAATTCTACTGGGTATCATTTTGCAGTTGGGTGTTGGTTGTATTTATACATGTTGTGTCGTTGCTTTGGAAGGCTATGAGGTAGATTTATAGGTAGCTTAGTGAGGCATATGTTTTAGCCTTACAATATGAATTGGCATGGGTGTTGATATTATTGATGTAGAGGGCGGGAACATGAGGATCCGTGCCTCGACGGATAATGGAGATGCTGAGGCGATTGGAGTTGAGGTGTCTCCTACTGGTGTTTATGTAGCTCAGGATGAAGTCCATGTCCTCGAGCCTCATGTAGGGATGGAGTTTGAGTCTGAATCTGCTGCCAAAACATTCTATGATGATTACGCTAGGCGTGCGGGCTTCAGCACAAAAATCTGTCAGACTGGCCGTTTCAGACCCGATAGTGCTGTCACATCTCGACAGTTTGTATGTACAAAAGAGGGGTTGAAAAGGAGGCCTTCTGAATGTGAAGCCATGCTGAAGATAGACTTGAAGGGTAACAAGTGGGCTGTGACGAAATTTATCAAAGAGCACAACCATGCCCTAGAGAGCCCTAGTAAGTTGCATAGTGTTCGGCCACACAGGCATTTTCCTGGTGCTGTGAAGAATGTTGCTGAAGTTTATCAAGCGGGTGTTATGGTGCCAAGTGGTGTTATGTATGTAACTATGGACGGAAATCATGTAAGCCAAACATCTGTTGAAGCAAATCGCTTAGCAAGGAGCATATCTCCTGTAGAATCAAGCCGACTGGTGAAAAGCTCTAACTGCATAAATCATGCCATCAAACCTGCTACCCCAAAGAGGACATGGGGCAAAGATGCTCAAAATATGCTGGACTACTTCAAAAAAATGCAGGCAGAGAACCCTGGGTTCTTTTATGCCATACAACTTGATGAAGATAATCGAATGGCTAATGCTTTTTGGGCAGATGCAAGATCAAGGACAGCTTACAGTCATTTTGGTGATGTGGTTACGCTGGACACTTCATACAAAGTTAATCAGTATAAAGTGTCATTTGCTCCCTTCACTGGAGTGAACCATCATGGTCAAACAATTTTATTTGGTTGTGCATTGCTTCTAGATGATTCTGAGGCTTCTTTTGTTTGGTTGCTGAGGACATTTGTTACTGCTATGAGTGATCGCCCTCCAGTGTCTATTGTCACTGATCAACATAGAGCCATACAGGCTGCAGTCAGTCAGGAGTTGCCAAAGTCCCGGCACCGCATTAGCAAATGGCATATCTTAAGAGAAGGCCAGGAGAAGCTGGCTCATGTTTGTCACATGCATCCTAATTTTCAGGCTGAGCTGTATAATTGTGTTAATCTAACTGAAACAATAGAGGAATTTGAATCTTCTTGGGATTTTATTATTGATAAGTATGATCTCAGAAGGAATGACTGGCTGCAATCACTGTATAATGCTAGAAGACAATGGGTACCAGTATATTTCCGAGATACATTTTTCGCAGCAGTTTCTCCCAATCAAGGAGTCAAGTGTTCATTTTTCGATGGTTATGTGAATCAACATACTACCCTGCCTATGTTTTTCAGACAGTACGAAAGAGCTATGGAGTACTGGTTTGAAAAGGAAATAGAAGCAGATTTTGATACAATATCCAATACACCAGTTCTAAGTACACCGTCTCCTATGGAGAAGCAGGCTGCCGACCTTTACACCAGGAAGATCTTTACAAAGTTTCAGGATGAGTTGGTAGAGACTTTTGTATATACTGCAAATAGGATTGATGGCAATGGTGATACGAGCACATACAGAGTTGCGAAATTTGAAGATGACCATAAAGCATACACAGTAACTCTGAACATCTCTGATATGAGGGCAAGTTGTAGCTGCCTAATGTTTGAGTATTCAGGCATTCTGTGCAGACACATTTTGACAGTATACACAGTAACTAATGTTCTGACCTTACCTCCACATTACATTTTGAGGCGTTGGACCAGAAATGCCAAGAGTGTGGTCGCATTGGATGAGCCTGGTGCAAATTATGCACAGGAATCAACCCCATCAAGGTATAACAGTCTTTGCCGAGAAGCTGTTAAATATGCAGAGGAAGGGGCAACAGCTTCAGACACCTATACTGCAGCTTTAACTGGTCTGAAAGAAGGGGCAAAGAAGATTGCTGCTGTGAAGAAAATTGTTGCGAAGGTTGCTCCTCAGACTCCTAAAAAGTCCACTTCTGGCTATGATGATAAGAAAATATCTGCAGCTGATTCACCTTTGTTATGGCCGAGACTAGACGAAGTTACCAGGCAGTTCAACCTTAATGACTCTGCCACCCTTCCTCATTATGTCAGTGGCATGAATCTTCTGCGCATGGCCCCCGCATCTGTTCAACGGGATGATGGCCCCACAGACAACATGGTATGCTAGAATATATTATGATAATCTTTTTTATTGCTCCTCTATGCATCAATAACAGTGTTGCTGATTATGGCCCTTCTATCTCAATGACTAGGTTGTACTCCCTTGCCTTAAGTCAATGACATGGGTCATGGAGAATAAGAATTCGACACCAGCAAATAGAGTAGCTGTAATCAACCTAAAGGTTTGTATATTCTGGTTGTGATTCCCTTCGAACTCTTGAGCCGTCTCAGATAGTTATATTATAAGAAATTAAGATGTTTGCATTGTCTTTTGGTGAAAAGATAAGTTGAAAGGTTGGAAGAGGTTTTCCGTGTTGGCACCCTTGAGGCCTTGACTATTGGCCGAAACAATGAAGAAACTTTGTGGATGATATTTATTCTTCCTATCCACACAACTAAACATTTGGGGAAATATTTGGAATTATTTGCTTTCAACTTTGAAGAAAGAGAAGGGCTGCACGCATACCCCATTGAAAGAGATCTCTCTTTGTCTTACTGTTTAAGGCTAGACTAGGGTTCCCTCCCATATCATTGGCTAATGAGATCTTCATCACAAAGGATGAATAATGGCAATGAATAGGTAAATGATGCATGTACATGCAAGATGGTAATTGTTTGTTTACTGGTGTAAAGCAGTCTACTACACAATTTTTAATGCTAAAATTTGTGTGTTTACCAGGGAAAAGCAGAATAGTCTGTGTGAGCTTACTTTTTATCAGTTGGTTATGAGAATTACATCATTGCTTAGTGATTGACTCTCTAGATGTTTCAAATAAGGCATTCTGATCCAGGACAGAGCCAAGAACTTGATGGAAGTGGGGTGGGCAAAAAGACTCAAGGGACTATTGTTTCTTTGAATTTTTCATCTCCTGTACTTTTTTGGAATTCGAACCACGTAATGATTGAAGTAAATTCTATTTTGGATTCTGCTTTTATCCTTCTCAGAACAAACAACCCTATTAGTGTAAGAAATGTTTTGGTTGTCTAGATAGTTACATTGATGAATGTATTGTATTTGACTTATTGAGTCATTGAATTATCATCCCTTCTCCCTCTATTGTTGAATGATGACTGTATTGCTTCTTGTGATGGATCAGTCAAATTAATCCTCTCTTTCACATGCTATGTGATTTTAGATTGTTTGGGATCTGATGCTGGAGCATTCAGTCAACCCTTAATTAACCTTATGATCTATCCTCTCTAACTTTGGGTTCGGTTAGTTTCCAGTAAAAAGAGCAATTGGTGCATTTAATGAATTAGTAAGATTTTCAAGCCTTCTGAGTTGGTTAAGTGCTTTAATCCTGATTACTTGAATTTATATTGCCTTTCTACGCATAATGATCCCATTTCATTTATTGAAAGAGAATTATTCACATTCTAAGAACCTGACATCAACTGACCTTCCTTTCTCCTAACTACATTTTGTTTTTGCAGTTGCAAGATTACAGTAAGAGCCCAGCAGTGGAGTCAGAAGTCAAGTTTCAGCTCTCGATGGTCACATTGGAACCTATGCTTAAATCTATGGCCCAAATCAGTGAACAGTTGTCCACCCCGGCTAACAGGGTTGCTGTTATCAATTTAAAGGCATGTTTCTCTAATTTGGCAGTCTTTTCATTGGTCAGAGTTATTCTCATGGTTGATCACAATCACCACTATGGTGCTTTTATTGGTCTACAGCATAGCAAAATATTTATAAATTCATAGACTATTGCTGCTGTAGTTCCTTTTAGACTGCCCAAACCTTGTCTTTCCTTTCTAGTTGAAAGTAAAAATTAAGGTCACCAAACCTTGCTGTATGTGTTACTATCTAACTGCTACATACCTAACTAGTTTATGTCTTGTAAGATTTTGAGTGTGTGATGGAAATATGCATATAGCAACTTCTCAAAGACTGCTCTCCTCTCTTTTTTTTTTCTTAGCCATATAGAAATGTGATATCTTGAAGTATGATTCGACGTAAAATAGACCTGTATGCTTAATATTAAAAGTGCATAAGAATGCTGTCCTTTAAAACTAATCACATCTTTTTTAGTAGCTCTTATATGGAATTCTGGAGAAGTTACTACAAACGCCTTTCTTAAACACCCAAGTGATGGGAGGAACTGTATGACTACTGGATTTCTTCCTTCTCTTCTTGGATAAATCTAAAGATTATTTTCATTCAATTAAAGATATTGCTTGAAGAAACTTTAAGAGTTGCATGTTAACCTGGACTCAAACTCATCCTGTTATGCATTGCTTTGCTTCAACTAATCCAATGTATGTAGTAGAATCATTTCATTGTGGTAAGAAATCTAATATGTGACAAGATAATGAGCTAGTGTTGCTTTCATTTCATTCGTTCATTATCTATCTGTTGCCTTGTTTGGGTTATCATTGTAAACAGAACATAATACTTAGAAATACTTGTCAGCAATGTCACACTGAGCAAGATATCTTTTGCCAAGTTTCGGTGATGTACACGTATCCTGTGACCTATATATATAGTGATCTGGAGAGTATATTCAGTGTTAAGCTTGTCAGGTGCTTTTAATGAATCTTTATACGTATTTACTGCTTGTTTTATCAATGTCAATGCATTGTACTATCTACCCTGACTATGTTAAGTAATCCTTATACGTGATTCTCTTGTATTTTAGCTCCAGGACACTGAGACGATCTCTGGAGAGTCTGAGGTGAAGTTTCAGGTTTCCAGGGATACTTTAGGTGCCATGTTGAGATCAATGGCCTATATCCGTGAGCAATTATCAGTTTTGGTAAGTTTTCTGACCTCGTTATGTGATCTGGAGAGCAATTATGACTCATTTCTATACTCCAAACTTGCAATAAGGCATTATGGCTAGCATGCACCTCCTTTCTTTTTCACCCATACCTATCATTATTTCTTCTGGGAAGAGGGGATGGGTGTAAATATGAACATTATCAATCTATCATATATCAATTTCCTCCCACTCTGAAGAAACTTGATGTTTCTATTGCTGTGTCTTGTGCATTTGATTGTTTTTATTGTTCATTAGATATCTATTATCAAACTACTATATATACTAAATTACTACACTTATATACCTTTGGCAGGTTGAGCCACAGACAGAACAGCCATCAAAAAAGCAGCGGAAATAACTGCTTGGATTTTGTAATGCATGTGTAGAATTAGGTTTGTGGCTCCCATTTAGGAGTGATTTTCTTTTTACTAGTTGGGTTTTCTTTCTTTCTTCCTTTCATCCAACCTTTCAATCCAAGGCCACAGGTACATACAACAGTTTGCCATTTGTTGAACAGTTGAAATGGGGATGGGATGGTTATAGTTTTTATTTCATAGCGGGTAAGGTCGTCTCGTCACTTTCCCTTGACGCCTTGACGGGGTGTCACAAAGTTGTACATGCTCTGTTTTTTCATTACCCTGTAATCATATTATTGTTCTTTGGTTTTTGCGTGCTCCAAAAAGCACATACGAATATTTCAGAATGTTACTCATTGTGAAATATGTTTGGCACTCTATATATTGGGCAGGGTTGACATTGTTGCATAGGACTTTTGGAGTTTATTGTTTTGAATAATAGGGTTGCCAATAATAACCAAAATGGGCTAAGAGTGGTAAACTACCCAATACCCCCAACATTATGGGCTTTAAATTATTACTCTCGTCTATTAAACAGGAGTGCAGGACTAATCAAGTGAGTTGTCAATGAGAAACAATTTCTGATTTCTAATCTATACCTCAATCTCTATTTATTTGACACACTAACCGGGGTATATCCAAAATGTTACTTTTACTTACTAGCAACAAATAATGATTAAAATTATGTTAAAACTCAAAACTTACCAACTAAATAGGAATTAAAGTAGTCAAATTCAACCAATCAACGCTCAACCCTCAATGAATCAGCCAGTAAATTGGTGATTGATTTTGACCAAATACTTGACTGCAATGCAATTGAGAAAGATGATGGCGTTACCTAAAATCATATAGATTGAAACCAATTCAGGGGTTATTTTTCCCCTTGAGATAGACTTGGAAGAAGATAGTATGAAATTGTATACAGCATGATATACAACTAATGTGTAGTAGATGTAACTTAGCTAATGAATCTTATTAACAGTCGATAAATAAATTATCCTCATTGAAATACTTTTTTTCAAAGTACTGACAAACGCAAATCCCGGTAATATCTGAGTGTCTACCGTAGAAATAACTCAAAATGGAGACATTGGAAGCCAAATTAATGAATTATTTGTACTCTTATCTACTCAATCTCAGCTTCTCTTTTCCACAACAGGCTTCGAAAATTAAGATGTAAAAGTAAAAAGTGCCTCCAAAAATGACTACAGGCGGTCTCAATTTACACGAATCATCAATTCAAGATTGAAGTCCAGGATTTGACCTAAATCACATACAGAAAACCCCCCATCCAAATTCTGAAGACATGGCAGTAAACATTGATCACTGTCTGAATCTCAAAATCCAAGCAGAAGTAGGGTCAGGTAAGACAGCAAGTGCGCCACAAACCCCTTCAGAAGGCAAAATTATTTGATTTCAACCTTACAAACTTCGGTAGTCGATTACAGTGACTTCATCTTCTGGTGCATCCAAATCTTGGTAGCTGTATCAAGAGCAATTATTGTGTAAGTTGAGTAAGGGTAAAATTTATTCTTCATCAAGTTAAAAAAATACAAAATTTATGGTACAGACGTACACAGACCACAATTAAGAATTAGCAAGGTCTCACACTAGGACTGAGTAGGTCATAGAGTTGCAAAAGGATCACATTACTACTAAGCCATGCAGATAATTTCAAATATATTTTAGTTTAAGATCCAGCTATAAGCTGTATCGTTTATGTTATCTCAGGGAACAATTTTTAAAACAGAGACAAAATAAAAGTACAGCAATATTTTTTTTTTGGCAACCAGCACTGCAATATTTAACACAGGACACGACAACATTTTCCTTCTGTCATCCTTCAAAAAAGGATGTCCTAAGAACGTCTAGGGCATTTACTCAAGTGACTCATTTCAACAAAGCCTAAGCTAACAGCAAACCATTAAAGATGCAAGTTAGAAGATGCAAAGTATATACGAGAAAGAAAACCATATTAAGCCAAGAAAAAGGATAGTGAAATCTTCAAAAATAAGTACCTTCGCAGACGTCTAGGATCCTGCCGAAAAGAAGGTGGAAGAATAATTGGAGGTGCGCCCATCCCATTTCTGCCTGGTGCATCAAACGGAGAGGGTCCACCCTGCTCACGTAGCATCCGCATTGCAACATCAGGAGGAGCTGGCACAAAGGGTCCCAATGGACTGCACTCACAACTCAAACTATTAATACTGATATCTACCTCGAGTTTCTAACAGTAGCCACCGTAGTTAGCTTATACAAAGGGTCATAGCCTACGAACCCTCTAAGAAGTCTAGAAATCTAGTCAAAAACATAAATCTTATGCAAAATTATTGACTGACATATCACGTAAGTTTCTACATAGACAAAAGCCTAAGCATCATTACAGTTGAATGATATAATGTTCATGAAACAATTAAAAAAGAAGGGAAAACTACAAATCATGGAAAAGGGAAGGAGAGAGTTGGTAAATAACTTATTCTCCTTGTTAAACTATCACATGAATCCCCTTTTTTGGCCTTACAGGTAATGATGCTCTATGTAGAAAGAAACTTTGTCTCTGAAATATGGCATCTTCCATTGAATTATTAACAGGAACAGCTAACTTTCTTCAACAGACAGACACACACACACACACACAGACACAGACGCGCACACGCATGCACGCACTCACGCACGCGCACACACACGAGCGCGCACGCACACACACACATGCACGCACGCGCGCGCACACAAACACACACACCAGAGAGATACAGATAATCCATACATACCCAGCACCAGGAACAGGCATCAATACAGGTGGGGGGGCAATATCAGTGGCAAAAGGAGCAACGTGCATGCCCTGTCCACCAAAATTCTCAAACATTGGTTCATCAGGGTTGCCCTTCTCTGGTGCATCTTTGTTTGGAGGAAATTCAGCCTGAGGGTTTTCTAATCTTTCAAATCTCTCACCACCATTCCGGTCTCTTTCTCTACGGTTGCCTCGATCATCTTTCATACGGTTGTCAGCACCAGGTCTTCGTCTTTGCAGCTTGTCTTTCTACATGAGACAATAAAAGATTAAAATCAATATAGAAGGCCTAGCTTGGGTAATATCAATTATGGAAGCTAGTAGGTGAGTTAAACTATCATGCAACTGTATAAACAACCTCTATTGTAGGTAATAGATTTCTCTATTGTCCATATAATCTCTCCATTCCTATATAATATAGATGACTGTCAATTAGGAGTCATTTTGGACAAACTGAGTTAAAACACCACAACCATCCTTCTGTATGCAAGTTTTGACATCACCAAACCACAAAGAAATTTCAATCAAAGGTGTCACCAAGATAATTATGGGCAAATGGAAAGTTGAACTTACAAAATTTATACAGTGGCCATTTCATTTAAAGATAAGGAGCAATTAACTCAAAGGAAAGTTGACAATTCGCAGAGTTCTAAATGCTTTACAACCTTTTCCACCAACCCCTTATTTTAACCTCTAACTGATTCCCACTACCCTTCATGCTTCATTCCAAGCATAGCCTTGAAGTGCTACATAGGAATAGAAGATCGACCATGATCCATTGGCTTCAGCATAACACAAAAAACATGTCTGAAAGCTTTATCCTTATCGAATTTTTAACTTATGGATAAATTAAAAGTTCTCCAATTAAAATTAATACATATGATTTAGAGGAACAGCGCTTTATTAATAAAACAAAAGACATGATATAAACAGTTCCACATCAAATCAAACTACGTTTACCTAGGTAGCAACATGAAAGAAGATGATTAAACTCCAGGTAAACAACTCATAAGGTCTAACATTTAGAAACAAGTATAGAGCTTGTACTTTGCTTATGACTCACTGGTTGACTTTAAAGTGCAAAGGTTTACTTTATTCATAATATAATGGTAACAAAAAATGGTATTGATGTCGTATGCACCTATTAACATCATGAATAACTCAAAGGCACATACCGGGACAAATTGCTGCATCACAGGTTGCCCACCAGGTGCATCTGGGTCACTGCAGAAAGAAAACATGTAAGCAATTCAGGATCCTACAATCAACATAACACAGTAAAGAAGAACCAAGGGAAAGACATACCTCATATAGTTCTGGAAGTATATATCTTCTCGTACTTTTGTTGTAACATCCATCGAGAGTTCTGGATGTTTAAGTTTCAAATGCTTGTGGACATATTCAGCAGCATGGAAGAGCTTAGTGCAACTTTTAGCACCGCAACCATATTTCCACCCGTATTTTTCATCCCTAATTTTTCTAACAAAGGGATCCAAAGCTTCAACAGCAGCAGCATCTATCTTCTCCTTGGCAGTCATGACCTCAAGTGGATCCTGACTACGCAACCTGTCTTGCCAATGTGAATCAAGCTTCTTTTCCCAATCTGCAGCACTGCTAGAAAAATCAGAATTCTTCCCCTCAGCTCTCACATGCCGGAGGCCTTTAGGTTCTGCTGTTTCTATCATGCCATAATAATCCA